CTTGCCTTCATGAATATCCTAGCATGAGGGCAAGTCATCATCACTGGTATGATAAAGCTTTGAGCTAGCTAGGTTTAGCTTCTGCTGCAGTCAAGGAGAGAATCTGACAGTCAGAAGGGCAAACTTGAGATCAGCTCTAGAAAGGTAGTTGAGCCAGGTGAGGCAGATGCAAGTAGCATAACTGGTACAAATTGAGGAAAAGATTGCAAGACCAAGAATCCAAGACAGAAGCAGCCGGAAGGGGCAAAGAAGGAAGCAAAGTCTGTGAATGGCATGCAGGATGCTAACAGAAAGGCACGCCACTTGGTTCCTAAGGCCCAAAAGAGGTGCAGTAGCCTAGAGATTCCTGAGTCAGGGCTCCAGGACAGCTCCCAGAAGCCTTGTGATTGATGTCTGCCTATGGCTGACGGTCCTGAAATAGATCGTGCAGCAGAAAAAAACACAATAATATGAAAATACTAATGTGTCAGAGTCACTATAGGTTGTATAATTGAAAATAGTGCTAATTAGTGTTTTGCGTCAGTAGGATGATTTCCACTTGTGCAACAGGACTTCCTTCTTCCTCCATTTATACCCAATAAATCTGTTCTGTTGGGTTCCTCCCACCCCCGGCCAGATCTGAGGATGGTACAGCGAGTCCTGTTGTGGAAGCGAAAGTTGTTCCACTTGTGCAAATTTAGTTTTATGCCACCCAAAGTCACATTTTGAGATCCTTTGCTCCTTGCTACCCTTTTAACAGACCTCGATGTTGATTTCAACCGATGCCGAGTGCTGGAATCAGCTTGCATGAAATATGTTACTGATGCCATAACTTCAGTGCAACCGAGAGTAGTTACAAAACGGAACATTTTGCTCTGGAATTTTCAACACATGCAGATACTTTCCAGAGAATTCTTTTACATATCAGGGCTTGCCATGCAGCTCTGTCCCAGCCAGGACACCTGGGTGCATTCCAGCACATGGCTGAGAACTTGTTGGAGCCTCCAGTTTTGTCTCATTGTTTCCAGTTGCTTAGAGAGCAGTGATGATGCACAGCTCATCCTGGGACAGTATCAGGTCATGTGAAAGGGGAAGCAGCAGTTCCCAGCCACATTCCAAAGTCAGTCACGCTGCCAAAATCAAGATCCCGAAGAAACCTAGCAGAGAGGGATAGAAGAAGATGGGGAAATCATGATGCTCTTTCTCCTACTGATGGTGGCTGGAGAATCTGAAAAGCAGGGTGCTGTGCATTTGCTTCCAAATTGCAAATTGAAGGGTGATGTGTTGAATTAATTGCATATTACTGACATAATGTATTTGGACTGCATCTGGGATTTTAGGAACCTAGGAGGCTGCTTTATGCCATGTTAAATCAATCATTTATGTAGCGCAGTGCTGTCTGCAATGACAAAAAATGGCTTTCCACGGTTTCAGGCAGAATTTCTTCCATGCTCTCCTGTATCAGTCCTGTGGCCTTCTGCATGCAGAGAACATGCTGTACCACTGAGCAGAATTTTGGAATATTGTGGCAGGGGCTGTGGTGGTAGGTTAACTTCTCCTATCCCTGTCAAACAAGGGACAATATACCTTCTTCCTCTCTCTAATGGATTGGGCTGAAAAATAATTGCAATGCATATAGGGGCAGTATCAAGTCAAAAGATGCAGAATACAATAAATGAATACAGCTGGAACATATTCTGCACATTTCAGCATGGAGATTAGATCCACGGCTCTCCCCGATTTTGTGTGTCCTTGTTTGGAAGAAGCAGCCCTTTGCTCCTCCATTCTAGGTCTGTCTCCCTGAAACACCAGCTGAGCACTCCCTTGTAACTGAATTCAACAGTACCCTGGGCTCACAGCTCCTTTTCCCTTTCAGATTTCAGTTGCCCAGTATCTGAGTTCCTTTGTTTTCATGTTGAAACGAAGCAGACTTGTGTGCAGTAGAGGGGAGGCTGAGTACAGCCAGAACATATAGAACAGGGTGTCAAGGGAGCTGCAGTCCACTGCAATGACCCACTCCTGAGGCTGCTGGGGCCTCCTGCCCTTATTCTCAAGGTAGAGATTCCCTTCAGGTTTCTGAACACTAGGAATCGGGAGTGACAAACAACAGCAAGCGCAACCACAGCAGGATGCCAGCTAAACAGGAAAGCAGAGCACGCCTGAGTTTGACCCTAGAAGATGAGGAAGAAAGTATTCCTACCCCAGTAAGTCCCACAGCTTATAATTAAGAATCGCAATACGTGTTTTGTCTGTGTAGATCTCCAAGGTTTCCAGGTGTGCATCCAAGGGACTGAGCCACTTTGTTTTTCTGAATTTTAATGAGAGGCTTTTCAAGTGGGGTGTGGATGCTAGGCTCCGTGTGGGTCTTAGTGGAAGAAAAGGCAGCGGGATGGGGGAAGAATATCACTGAAGATCAGCCCATGCCAAGCACTTTTCTGTGCTCAGTGAACAATGGTGGCTTTTCTACTACATGTCTAATGCCATTCATGCGTGTACAGATGGAGGACACGTCAACTCTCTGCTGTCATCCACCCCCATTTCAGATCTTTAGGGGCGAAGACCTTAATAAAAAAATATCCCAGCAGTGCTAAGAATGCAGCCTAAGAATGCAGAATATCAGCAGATCTTGGACTTCAGGACCTGCTTCATGGCAGGAGTTCTTAAAGCACTATTATAATTAATATAACAAATGATGTCAACGGAGCACCTCACAGGAAGTCTGACTCCACCACAGGGGTTGGCCTCGTTCTTTCATAAATGAAGAATAAGCAGCAGTCAATGATCCTTTTCTGAAATTTCTTGTGAACTTTGACGGCTCCGGGTTCAGAGCAAGCACTGCTGTAACTCCCAAGGGAATCTAAGCAAGAATCTGCCCCCGCCCATGTCAGCCTTCCTTCTGCAAAAATTATCACTGAGCAATACAGTGATTTACATCTAGCATCATGATGTGTAAGCACCCCTGACCATGAGTGCTTTAGTCCTGGGGGGGGGGTGCTGGCAGCACAGAAATCATCTCAGCTAGTACCCAAATGGCCATCTGTCATGGATGCTTTAGCTGAGATTCCTGCATTGCAGGGGGTTGGACTAGATGACCCTTGGGTCCCTTTCCAACTCTACAATTCTAAATAGAGCAATAAAGTATTGGGGCTTTTGCTCACCTCCTTCCCCCCACCCGATCTGAGAGACTTGTTTTTCTTCTTTTTTATAGAGAGATATTGGCCCCTCCTATCTGCTCTCTAGGGACGTGGGTGGTGCTGTGGGTTAAATCACAGAGCCTAGATCAGAAGGTCAGCGGTTCGAATCCCCGTGATGGGGTGGGCTCCCGTTGTTTGGTCCCTGCTCCTGCCAACCTAGCAGTTCGAAAGCACGTCAAAGTGCAAGTAGATAAATAGGTACCACTCCAGTGGGAAGGTAAACAGTGTTTCCGTGCACTGCTCTGGTTTTGCCAGAAGCGGCTTAGTCATGCTGGCCACATGACCTGGAAGCTGTACGCCAGCTTCTTTGGCCAATAAAGCGAGACGAGCGCCGCAACCCCAGAGTCGTCCGTGACTGGACCTAATGGTCAGGGGTCCCTTTACCTTTAACTTTATCCCCTCTCTAACTAGGGAAGGAAGAGGTAGGAGAGAATATAGTGGTACCTCGGGTTAAGAACTTAATTCGTTCTGGAGGTCCGTTCTTAACCTGAAACTGTTCTTAACCTGAGGTACCACTTTAGCTAATGGGGCCTCCCGCTGCCACCGCACTACCAGAGCACAATTTCTGTTCTCATCCTGAAATAAAGTTCTCAACCCAAGGTACTATTTCTGGGTTAGCGGAGTCTGTAACCTGAAGCGTCTGTAACCTGAGGTACCACTGTAGTAAAAAGATCCCAAGCTTGCAACTTCGGCATTGGTTTACTGGTGCTCAGGATGATCTCCAACTAAGCCCTGTGCACTGCTAAGCAGGTAAGGCTGGTCTGGAGGCTGAGGGGAAGTCCCTCCCCTCATGGTATCATATCATGACAACAGCCCTTCCTGGTTAGCAAAGGAGAGGCACTTCCTGAATGTCAAAGACCACTCCACCAGAACCTTCAGAGAACTGGATGATGGGCAGCTCCCCAAAAGGCTGTTTCTGTCTCCTCTCCCTTTCAGGAAAAGATGGGTCTTTGGTAGCCTTGCTTTCCTCACTTGCAGGGCATTTAACTGTTCCTAATGCTTTATACCTGTTAGGGAGGGGGCCAGTAGTATGTCTTCAGCCTGCTTTTAGAAGGGTTTCTCTGTTCTTACAAATATTTTTCCACATACCTGCAAAGTCCCCTGAGTATGCAGAAACTCCTACTTTGTCCGTTGGTGGCCTCATTTCACTGCCCTGCTGGTTTGCACATGACCACCAAAAAAGAAGCTTTGATGCTGATAAAAGCAAGAGGCGCTCACTCATTTTGGTTTGGGGAAAACGAGCAGACAGCAAGATCAACCAGGATCTGGGCTTTCAGTGCAATTCATAACAGAAAACTTCTGCTTGCAGTTTGCGTTTCAGTGTAGAACAAAGCTCAAGACAGAATGTGATGTACAGTATGGTGCTTTTTCATATGGATGAACCCATTATTGTTTCTTTCTGTGTGTACTATACAATTTCTCCTCTACATTTCAAATTGTTTTAGAGCACATGCTAGGGTTGTCACTCAATTAAAGAAACCTTTGTCAAATTATCAATTCAATCTGCATAAATATTTTAGGAAGAATATATAATAGTTCTGAAAGAAAAAAACATACTTCCTTTAGGTCAATCAAGATATGTATAAATTGCAGGTCTTGAAAGTCAAGTCAAGTAAATTTATTGCATTAGCCGAGTGGCCATAGCATGATATACATTGAAATAACAACATAAAATGGGGGTGGGGAGGTAAAGGTAGATATCGTCCTGGGCGAATACTTAAAAAAAGTGGGAAGAAAAAAAAAAACTGCTGAGGCTGGAGGAGGACCGTTGAAGGGTCCTTCAGCTCCTCAGATTAGTCCTAACTCGATTGTCCTTGTACAATAAGGCTACTTGGAACTTCGTTCGGTTGTGCGGCGTATCGACTGCAGCTGTGGTGTTAAAGAAGAAGTAAGTGCCGCTTTCCTCTTCATCACACTAAGCAGGAAGTTAGCTGTCATCTCGGTAATCCAACAATCAGAATCCTGCAAAAAGAGGGACACTATCCAAGGCTGGATTGGGAGATGGAACTTATTCACGAGGGGAGTTAAAAACCGAGATCTTTCATCTGTCCAGTTGGGACAGAAGAGCATTACATGTTCCATAGTCTCCAGGGCCGTGTCGTTACAGGAGCATGTTCTGTTTGCGATGGGAACTCTGGAATAACGACCCGACAGAACTGCTGTAGGGAAACAGTTGAGACGGGCACAGGTAAAAGCCCTTCGCTTAGTCTCCGAAGAAATTGTGAAGCAGTATAGAGGGATCCCTTCAGGGGGTGGAATAGCTAGGGCTAGGCCTGAACACGGTCCTCTTGCACAAGAAGCTGTGTTGGAGAAGTCAAGCTGCTGTAGTTTCTTTTTAATTAGGGGTAGGGCCACCGGGCTGATACACTCTAAGTTAAGAACAGTTTTACAATTCAAATTGAGAAGAGAGCGGAATTTGAGGTTAATTGTAGTTTTCCAAGGGGAATTATGAATATCTCTTAGGATCAGATTGGAAAAGCCACCTCTAATTCGAGCATCCGATGCTAATAGGTGGAAGGTGTAGGAAATGGCTCGGCTCCATGCTCGTCTAACAATTGAAGGCTGGGCGAACTCGAGTCGTAGGGCTGCACCTGAGACACATCTCGGGACGCCGGAAAGAGATCTCAGAAACATATGAAGTGGACGATCCAGGTTACCTGATATTGCTGTAGTCCATACTTCGCATCCATACAATAATTTAGGGACGACTTTGGCATTAAATATTTGAATTGCTGCTGGAAGGTGTTTGCCGCCCTTCTGGTGGTAAAATCGGACAATGGCGTTAGAGGTCGTGGTTGCAGCGAGAAAGGCAGATTGTAGATGGGTGGTCCAGGAGAGATTATAGGTGAATATTAATCCTAGATATTTAAAGGCTTTTACCTTTTCTAAGTAGCCACCTGTGATCTTAAGCGGCTCCAACTTGAGTTTGCGGGAACGAGTGAAGTGGAGGACTTTCGATTTTTATAATTAATATTAAGAGCTTCCGCCTTACAATAGGCGATAAATGCATTAACTGCATTTGCTAGGTCCGCAGCTGTTCTGGATAAGATGACGGCATCATCAGCATAGAAAAGGGAAGCAACGGGGTGGCCTGCTAAGTGAGGAGGATACTTAGATGCTAGCTTCAAAGTGGAAATTGCATCATGAAGATAGAGATTAAACAGTAAAGGGGCCAAGAGACAACCTTGTCGGACGCCCTTGGCCGTTGGAAATGGAGTAGTGGGGAGCCGTTAGGACCAGTTCGGACGCGAGCTGTGGTGTTTGAATAAAGGGAGATAATTAGGGAGAGGAGGTGCGGATCAATTCCCAGATGGGCAAGTTTGGACCATAATCTCTGCCTAGGAATGGAATCAAAGGCGGCCTCCAGGTCCATGAAAGCGGCAAATAGATGGCCTTGCCTTGGAGCAGTGTATTTACTGGCAAGGTGATAGAGAGTTAGACAATGGTCCATGGTTGACGCTGACTTTCGGAAACCAATCTGTTCTAGCGGTAGAATGTTCCTCTCCTGGACCCATGAGAGAAGTTCCTCCAGTAAAACAGCGGCAAATATTTTCCCGGGATGGATAATAAGCTGATGGGGCGATAGTTCCTAGGGATGTTTGGCTGGCCGCCTTTGAAGATCGGAACTATTATAGCTTCTCTCCAGGAGTCGGGGATGTCTAGGGCGGAGGAGATAGCGGTGAATACAGGAGTCAGGTGTTCGCTCCACCAAAGAGGATCAGTCAGGAAAAGGTCCAACGGGACCATGTCTGGGCCGGGGGGCCTTATTCCTTTGCATTGACATTATGATGTTGAAAATGCGAGTTGAAGTAAAGTTTATTGAAGAAGTGGGACTAAGAGAGCAGGAACTGAGGTCCAACGGGATTGAAGGAGATCTGTAAGATGGTTTGGAGAAGCGAAACTAGTTGAATAATAGGCAATCCATTCATCAGCGGAAATCTGGGTAGCTGGATTGAATGGTGCCGAAGGTCTAACTAGGCGCCAGAAGGAGCGGGAGTCATGCCTCTCTACAGCCGAACGAAGAGTGGACCAAGCCTCAAGGATGTGCTGCTGTTTCTTGCAATGAATCATGTTTCTATATGTCCTTTTAATATCTATGAGCTTTGCACGGGTTTGGGGGTCGTTGGAAGATTTGATGATTCTGACCATTTTCCTAATTCGCCTTCTTAGGGCTTTACATTCCTTGTCAAACCAGGGCGATTCAGAGAAGAGGCGTTGGTAAGTAGGCGAGGTGGTGGTTATGTAAGTTGTTGAGAAAGCATCAAGTAATTTCCGGTATTGGTCAGCGGGCAGGATTGGATCAGAGGGAACTGCAGACATATCAAATGATTTTTGTATGTCCAGGGCAAGAGAGGAGCTGAGGCTTGACCATTTCTTTGTTTTGTATACAGGGTGGCTTTGTACCATGGTTCTATAGTTTGAGGGGACTGGAAGTGGCTCTATTAGGTTTAACATTAGAGTCAATGGAAGGTGGTCACCACCAAAATATTCAGCCACTTCCATTTTTGTAGAAATTGAGAATAGCTCCGGCGTCAATAAAATGTAGTCGACAACACTGGGTCCCCGGGAAGTGATGCACGTTAATTGCTGCGAGGACAAGGGAGTAATGTTACCATTTGCGATGCAGAGATCATTTTCCATGGCCAGTTGGGCCATCAGCCTCCCCGACGCATTTGTTATAGGATCGAGAGAGCATCTGTTTCCCCAGGGGGGCTGCAGGGGATTGTCCAGGAGTGCTGCGGGAGATATTATATCATCGTCGTTGGGACCTATTCTTGCATTAAAGTCGCCTAAGAGGATTTGAGGGAGTCCTGGGTTAGTTGTTTGAAGATCATGGAGCCAAGACGAAAGTTCAGACCACCTTTCATTGCGGTCGAAATCATTAATTGCTGGGGGCAGATATACTGTAGTTATCAACCATGGGCTTTTGGTCTTTGGGAGATGAATCTTTATGGTGAGAAAGTAAGGGGAAGATTTAATTTCCTCGCAAATAGTGGGGATAAGCTGGTTGAAATAAGACAGGCGAGGCCAACTTGGGGGCGACCCCTGTTGGTTAGTTTACTGAGCACAGGAGCTAAAGGAGCAATAATTTGGGAGAACAATACTTTGTTGGGACCAGGTCTCTTGGAGGCATACAATGTCGAAAGAAGAGATGAAATTCATTGCTTCAGGATCCATTTGCTTTGTCGCCCAGCCGTTAACATTCCAGGAGACAATTTTAAGGCTCTGGGGTAGGTTGGGTGCGTCTTTCAAGGAAACAACTGCTTTTGCTTGATTTGTGAGTGAGGGTTGAGTCTGTTCATATCTAATGATGTCGGATTTCCGCGGAGATAGGGAGCCGGCTGGTGTTTGTCTCTGGTCTAATCTTTGTCAATTATTTCCCAAGGTGCTTTTAGGGTTTACTTTTTTATGAGCCGGCCCATTACTCTCCATACATGGCAAACTAGCCAAATGTTCTATAGTTTCAGCTGTTAACTGTTGAATACTGACATTAGTGGTCACCGGGCCTTTGAAGTGTGTTATCTCTTTCCGTTGGTATTTTTCCGGAACCTGATTGTGGCCTAATTCCGCCTCATCTAGATACCTCAGCTTGTCCCAGGAGCCTGGTGAGTTCACCTTCGGGATGGTTCTCCTTATTGGAGGTGGTGTAGTGTTCTCTTCAGTGTGCTGGGCTTCCTTAATTAGGGGTAAATTAATCTCAGCCATTGTCTGAAGGTAACATGGCCGACAGGCCGCTGGGTTTTGTTCTTGTGTAGGGTTCAAATTATAGGAAGTCTGGTCCTTTTTATGGGCGTCCATATTGATTTCCTTGTTTATATCTCTCCCAGCCAGCTTAATTCTTAGCATATCCAATCTTTCTAATATTTCAGCTTGTATTGGAGATGGAAAATGGCAAAATTGCCTAATTAAGGTATTTTCTTCCACGGAGAAAAGATCCTCATCTTCATTCTCTTGAAGTTGCAGGTCTTGCAGGTGGGCATCTTTCCTTTTTAATTTTTGAATTGAAAGTCAATCTATAATTCGTTACGTCAAAAATATTTTTAAATGTTGTGCCCAGTTAGTAACTCAAAAGGTTTTTAATCTCAGTACAAACTTGTGAAAAGGTCCAAAAGGTCTGGCTGCATGGGAATCACTGGTGAAATATCTAGAGAAGGCAGAAATGGACAAATTAACTAATCTGATTCATAGGAGAAATGGTAGTTCTTAAGAGTTCTATGTTTGTTGCAAAGTGGTAAGCTTTGACAAGATCTTGTTTTTATAAGCATTTTTATTCATCATCTTGATCAGATTGTACTAATACTGTAATAGAAATACTCTTTTTAACCAATTAAACTGATTAACTGACAAGGTTGGAGCCCTCGCAAACACACCATGAACAAAACTCCTGCTGAGCTCTATTAAACAAGTTTATTAAGTGGACTAAAATGATTCCTCAGATACAAAGCATGAGTTCAAAATATAATGCATTAGTAATCTGTAGTTGTGCCGGTATGGTTGGCAGCTGTGCCTGGTTAGCAAAGGAGGCACTCCTGACTGCCAAAGCTCAACAGCTAAGGCTCAAGCGTTCTTAACTGGAGCGAGAGTCTCCTCCTTTTCGGCCTGCCCCAAGTCCCACTCGCTCAGAAGCTCCGAGGCCACCTCTGTGTAGAGATGATTCCAGTCCCAGCTGATATCATCCTGCCAAAAAAAGAAAAGAAACACTAAGTGGAAAAATGTCCCAAAGCATTGCAACACAGTCCAAATGGCGGAAAGAATGCCATGTCTTGTCTAAAAGCTACTTCATAGCAGTAACCCAAACTCTGCTAGAAAGCCTGAAGCCTGAAGATAGTGTGTGTTTTAATCCATACCACTCGCAGTGCCACCATTTTATATATCACTGCCAATTATACTGTATATATGATCACAGTAATTGCAAGTCCTCTAGGACTTATTCCAAACAGGGGTTTGGACAGGTTATATGACTGAATTGACTTTGGTCGCCCTGATGGATGACCTTTATCGAGAGAAGGACAGGGGGAGGAAGAGCCTGTTGTTCTTGATCTCTTAGCAGCTTTTCATACCAATGGCCATTGTATCTTCCTGAACTGTCTCCATGAGATGAGCACTGGGGTCACTGCTACACAGTGCTTCAGTTCCTACCTCCAAGGCTGGTTTCAGAGAATAGTGCTGGGCAATTATTTTACAAGACCCTTGGCAATTGTTTTTTTGGGGGCTGCAGGGTACTATCCTGTCCCCAATGCTATTTAACATCTACATGAAGCCACGGGGAGTGATCATTAGGAGAGTTAGGGCAAGGGGCTAGAGGGCCAGCTGACCTCAGTGGCCAGGAGTGCCTTTTACCAACTTTAGTTATAGCCATTTCTGGATTGGGATAGCCTGACAGCTGTTGTTCATGCACTGTTAATTTTGATTGGATTACTGTAATGTGCTCTATGGAGGGCTGCCTTTGAGACTGTCCTGGAAGCTGCAGTTAATACAAAAATTCAGTGGCTTGATAGCTCACTGTGGCAGGATCTTGCCATCACATTATACTGCTGCTGAAAGAATTGCACTGGCCACCAACTGGTTACAGGACCAAGTCCTAGCTGCTGGTACTGGTGTGCAAAGTCCTACATAGCTTGGAACCAGAATACCTAAAAGATTGTCTCATCCTCCTATATACACAAACACTTGCTGCATTGTTCGTTTGGCACAATGTTGTAATCGGGCCTTTAGGGTGGATAGATATGTTGATAGATAACCAGTATAAATTTATTTTTAAAGAATAGTCCACAATCCCAAGAACAGGAAGCTTGCATTGTTAAGAACAGGAAGTATATACAATCGTACCTTGGTTTTTGAACAGAATGCGTTCCGGAAGTCCGTTCAACTTCCGAAATGTTCAGAAACCAAAGCACGGCTTCCAATTGCAAAGGCGTGCCAGAAACAATAGTGGAAGCCGCATCGGACGTTTGGCTTCCAAATAAAAGGTCGAAAACCAGAACATTCACTTCCAGGTTTTGATCATTTGGGAGCCGAAACGTACGAGTACCAGGGCATTTGACAATCAAGGTACGACTGTATGGGTAGAAAACTGTCAACAGGAGAGGACTGCAGCAAACAGAAAAAGAAGAAGTACATGTTCTGCATGGAGAAGGACCCAGAATCAATCCTTGGCATTTCCAGGTAGGGCTGGAAAAGACTGAAACCCTGCAGAGCAGCTGCAAGTCAGAGCAGACAACACTGAGCTAGATGGACCAATGGTCTGACTTGGTTTAAGGCAGCTTCCTATGTTCCTGTTCCTGCTGAGCAGAAATAATGGTCTAGTTCTCCTCTTGGCCCAGAGCAAACTCACCTCTCGTACATCCTGTTCTGGAGCTAGAACCTTACTGAGCAACTTCAGGTCAACCTCTCCATCCTGTGGGAGCGCATAAAAACGTAATTCAGATCCAAGAACAGTAACGGAAACACACATGTTGCACACATCTGTCCTGCTTCTGGATAACTTACATTGCCACTAATGGAGCAAAGCTGTTCAAACGCATCAGCATGCTGAGCCTTGGCTCAAAGTATAAAACGGAGTGTGCTTATTCCTTCTGGAGGGAAAGGAGCTCCACCAAAGGAATTATAACAAAGGGATGGACGCTGGATTTTAAGTAAATATCACTAAAGTGGGAAGTGAAGAGGAACACCCAAAGATGCCTTAGCAGACACTGCAGAGCATATACCATGCAGATCTGCCAAACAGGTACTTAACATCTTGTGTTCCAGAATGGCACTGTCAGTAGAATGCTCACCTTATTCACATGCTGCACTGCCACAACAATCTCACTGTGAAAAACCTGGGGTTTCTGGGAATATAGATTTCTAACTGCCTGCACTCACCAAAGTTTGGAAAGCAGCATACTTCATGAGGTCATTGTCCAGGTCACGGTAGGTTAGCACTCTGTTCACCTGAACGCTGCAATTGGGGACAGAGCAAGGAACCAAATTAGAGCACTCCACATCCCTCACCAGAATCCATATGTTCCACTTGGAATGGGTTTACTTGCTTTATTATTGTATATTCCTTAGTTGTAACCTGCCTTGAGATCTTAGGATGAAGGGCAGTTAAGAAATATTATGAATAAATAAAGTAGCTGCCATAAATACAGACCTGGTCTTAATAAAAAGTTTGTATTTTTGGGGTTGACACACATATTCAGAGTCCATAGCAGCTGTTCTCTCTCTCCATATGAAAACAACAGAGTTTATCATAACCACCTGTTATTCATAGCAACACCATGTAACTGCTCAAGCAAATCACAACAAAATCCAAATGAGTGGGGTCCACTTATGACTACCAGTTCAGCACAAGGAATTGCATGGCAGCTGTGATCTTGCTGTTACCTGGGTGGGGCTGCAACCTGCATGGCAAAGTCTTCCTCTTGTACCTCCTCCAAGTCAGGGATCACTGGGATATCTGCAAGGGATGGAGGAGACATAAGGCTGCAGAACTACCAAAACTTTCCCTAGTTTTCTCAGTGTGAAAGTAACGTGGAGGGGTCATAGCTCAGTGTTACAGCTCATGCTTTGCACACAAAATGTCCAGGATCACTTCCTGGCGCCTCCAGTTAAAAGGATCATGTAGCAGATGGCGGAGAAGACCTCTGCCTAAGATCCCAGAGAGCAGTTGACAAGAGTGGACAATCCTTGTAGATGAACCAATGGACACCAGTGTAAAGCAGCTTGGTATGTTCGTACAATGTATCTCTGAAAACACCAGAGACCCACACTGCAGGGTCAATGCCTATGTGGCTGCTGCACCCTCTTTAAAATTAAATGGATGGATTTGTGCTCCAGTGGGAAGAGTATACAGATCCCAAGAAAGAATGAAAAGCAAAAGGCTCTCTGTGAAGATTGAGGGATAGCCTGACTGTTATGACAAACTGCCAAAGACTACCCAGAGTAATGTTCTTGCAGTCATGTGGCAAAACATATGAGCTCAGACAGCAAATAGAAGATGATCGGGATTATCTCTGTCTTGTTGCTGGCATCCATCTGTCTCAAGGGACAAGGGAGTGCACCTCTGGGGGTGAAGTCAAACTGCTGAATTAGCAGCACTGAAGTAACCTCCCTGGGGCGCAAGCCTGGGTAATGTATATGGAGGTCCTGGGCTGCCTAGACCCTCCCCACTCAGTCTTGCTGGTGTGGTCCAAAGGAAAACACAGCAATATATTTGTCACCAGCTTGGCTGCAGGAGTTGCCAGAAGGGGGCATACAAGGCGCCATCCAACTGCCTTACAGATTCCACTTCGGATTTGTGTAGGGTTTACTCCTTAGCCTTTTTTTCTCCCAAAAAATCCCTGGTTTAGGTTTAGAATCAGAGTTTTCCATCTCCTAGGTGGGCTACTTTATCTCTATTCTATTTATGCGACAATTCAAACTGCTGTGCTCCAAGTGACAAGAAGCTTCCTCAGGCTTTGCCTACATACATGGCTCAATGTTTTGTGAATAAGGCTGTCTCTCAGGACAGCGAGAGTGAAATTAGCTATATTTCCCCCCAGGCAAATATTTATAGTTCTATGCAAGTACCTGCCTGTGTCCACCCAGCTCAGTTCTATCTACATTGACTGGCAATTACTCTCAAGGATTTCAGAAGAGATCTTTGCCAGTCCTATCTGGAGATGCCAGGGATTGAACCTGTGACTTTCTGCACGCAAAGCATGTACTCTACTGCTGAGCCAGTGGCCCTTCCCCAAGCTGGCCAGCCAGCTGCCTGCAAGCAGCATCCAGCCGACCAGAATGTATTGACTATCTGCAGCTCTGGATAGTTCACACTAGACTTGGTTTCACTGCATTCTAATTTTGAATTTGAATTGTGGATTTCATTTTTCTTTTTCAATGCCAGACATTTTGGCCACCCTGGTATGATGAAATACCCCATAAACACTGCATTTCCAGTGAACTAGCCCTTGAGCAGCTGAGCTCTAAAGTATGCACCTCCTCTGGTTTTAAGAAGCTGGCCATCCCTGACTTGTTCTGATTCTGAAAGTGGTTCCAGAGTCATACAATCCTCAGGAAACTGGCTGGCCAAGCTCTACTGTGATCCTTTACTCCACTGCCTGAAATGAAAGGGAGATGGCGCCTTGGCAGCGAACAGGCTGCTTCCAATTTTATCCACAACTGTGCTTTTCTAACTAAGCATTTGACTGTTTCCAGCTCTGTCCAGTCTGCAGCCCAGGCTGAAATGAATATTCAAGAGCTGGAAAGGCGCCCTGCCTGTGGAGTCTGGGGTCCAGGACGGGGTCTTTAAAAAAATATGTGTTTCCCCTTACAGCCCTCTCCCAGTTCCGAAGTGCACAGGTCCCATCTTCCTATCCGCTCAGCATCCCTGCAGGCTTCCCTGACCCTGGCGGAGGAAGTGCTGGTCCATCTGCAGCAGGGCAAGGGTTAGCCCGGACTCTTGACAAGAGGGCTGTTTGGAGCAACCCACACAGTGGGATTTCTTTCTAATTGGCTGCCTGGTGAAGGGGCTGAATGAAACCGAGACTGAAGCCAGAGCCAAGCTAAAGCAAGAGACGGTGACAGCTTGGACAATCTCTGCAGAGTTGTGCTTTCCAGCTCCCCAACCACTCAAGGACCTGTTGCCTTCAACGGAGCAGCTTTCAGCTCACAGCAACTTGGATAAAGAGGAACCAGAGCACTGGAGGTGCCATCTTTGTGCCAAACAGCACAGAGATACTCTGTGGCCTCCTCCTCAGTGCCGTAGCATAGGAAGGCCGGTCAATGCTCATGGAAGATTTGCATAAGCTTATTTCTCAGCAGAGGCTCTGGCTGAGCAGGCCACAAAAGAACGACAGAGAAATAAAAAGTGGTGAAAGATAAGCTGAAAACAAATCTAAGACCTGAATCTGTAAGGATCTGGTGGCCTGTCAAAGGTTTTGCATACTCAGTCAATTCCCCTTTAGGAGCTGGTTCTTGCACAGAGAAACCTGCCTTTTAAGTACCACTTTCTGAGCGCAAGAAGCTCAGCAGCTATTCAGAAAACATAGATTAAAGGTATTACTTGGGAACCCTTCATGCAACCCATTTAGTATGGCAAGTTCTGCAGCATACACTGAATATCATACTTACTTGAAATTGGCAGCCAGCCAAGGCCAAACTGATTTCACTATGTGCTGTTAACTCACATTTTGCCAGGCTGGAAATGCTTATTGCAATTAAGAAACCAGAGGATCAGAATCATGAAATCAAGAGGAAATACCAAGAATGATGAGGCGCAAAGAACATTAAACTAAGTAAGGGTTCTTTCTTTCAGAGAAGGCTTCTAAGTCCAGTGTATTTCTTTCAGGTAAAGCTTATGTCTTTTAACTTATTCATCTTGTTCATTGGAAAAAAAATCACACATAAATAGAACCCTGTATGATATTTTTTAAAAAGATCTAAATGTGCAGGAAAAAGGGCATTATTATCCTGCATTATTACTTGGGGAACCTCTTGCCCACAAATCAGATTAGGTCTGCCAGGCCATTTTCCAGAGCCACACCAACTCACCCCATACCTGCTGCCATATGATAGCAGGGGTCGGGTAGGTAAAGCTTTGGCTGCAAAGGAACAGTTGGGAGCCTTAGGATCCCCACCTGATTGTTCCACTGCAAGCAGTTTTTGCACTGGACACCTCTTAAATTTGCCCCCAAATGCAGTCCCCACTGGGACTGGTTCCACTTAGAAGCTCCCAAATGAAGTCAGTCCCTTCATTTGACAATAATATTTGCAGCTATGGTTTGAATTCAAGTAGTGCCTGCAAGAATCGGGAGTGAACTTAGAGTACACTTCAAATTCTTTGAAACTTAAGGAAGATGTCAGGTGATTGACAGCTGGACAGCCCTGCCCACCTGCCAATAGTGGCCCACCAGTCAGATCAAGTTCTCTACCCCTGTGTTATCAGATATAGGGCTGGTAAAGCTTTAGCAATAAAGAGCTGTTCGGCAGCTCAAAAGTTACATTTAGAGGCTTTCACAAGTACAGCATTTAAAAATCAGCCTTATTCTTTGCTAGGGATTTTAGTGAAAACGTATAGAACCTATTCCTGTTAGAATAAAATGATAAATCTAATAAACATTTCTCAAGGGCGAAGTACCTTCATAAATTAGTTCCCTACAGATTAATCTACATAGTTCAGATAAGAGCATACAGAGAACAGTACAAGATGCATATCACCAGAGATGCTGATCAAATACAAGAAATCTGCCCCCCCCATTTAGTTTCATTTCATTTAGAAGCATTTGCTTCCAAAATCTTTATAGTAACTCACGCAGGTACTCCCTGAAACCACTGGCCCTGCCAAGCAGTCTGCCTCAGGCAACTCTTGGCCTGTTGACCAGTAACTGTATCCCCAATGTTCCCAATTGTTGTCATATGAAAATTCACAAGTTTCTGAAGGCAGAAGAAGAGATGCCTGATGGAGTGCATCTCAGCTAGGGAAATGAGTCTCTATGGGTGGGAAATTTCAACATGGGAATTTCTTTAGTTGAAATCCCTCAGCCTGGTTCCCACATTCTCAAATAGTGATGCTAGACTCTAGAAAGGAGCCACATGAGAAGCAGGGAACAATGCTGCAGAAAGAGTAAAAAGAAATTGGTGGATTGAGTTTCCCTGGGAATCCTACAACTGAAAAACACTGACCTAGTTTGTTCTCAGGAATTATCCAAAGCCCTAAAATAATGCTCTCTGCTGTGCTGTGCCACGCTATGTTCCCATTTATTGACCTGCCATTTTCAATAAGCAATTCTGCATGGGAACTCCTCCAAGTATAATCCTAGTTAGTTGCTGTATCCAAAGAATGCAAGAATGCACACCTCTAGAGCTGTGTACATACAAAACTATATAAGAGCAGAGCATGTAGAAAAGTGAGATTTTGAAGGCCAGCTCTCTGGGTCCTCCCTGTTTTGTGCACAGCACTATGAGAGGCTCTAAAAGCAAAGGAAGTGAGCTAAGTTTTATATTTGAACAGAAGAAAACTTCAGCCAGACACAATTCTAATTTCTCTGCTGCTGCAAAACTTTGTTTTACTGAATGCTGTTACCTTCTGCATCACGTTTAGGGAATTTTAAACAGGCAAATGGAAGAAGGTATCTGATTGAAGATGAAGTTAAGTGAAAGAAATTGGTCTCATTTAGCACATGACAGGATTCATCTGTGTTCTCGAGTCCACTGAGGTAGCATCATGGGCGTTTCATATTCATGAGCTGCTGCGACACTGTGTCCCCGCATTTACAAAGCACCGTGTTCAGCAAATTCTGTCCCTGTGGACACCCCATGCATTTCATGGTCTTGTCAGAGAGACATCAAACACGCCAGTAACCAAATACCAGAAAATGGCTTTAATTAGTGCATCTCAATTCGATAATTTTTCCCTCTAAATAGAAAAAGGAGGAATAAAAATAGAGAAGTGGAAAGCAACAGGCTAGGGTCTTCAAAAAAATGCAAGGAACAAGGAATGGAGGCAGCTTCTGTGGAACACACAAACAAGATTGAGTTCTCTCTTCTTTGAGGGTAATAAGCAAACCAATGAGGCATGTATAGCCTCTCTGGACCACTGGCCAGGGCATAGATGGTGGAGGGTTACAATTTACTCTTCCAGCATCAGGTCACACTAGCCATTGGTGATGCCATTCACAGAGAAGTGGGTTTCAAACCTTGTCATTAAAGGGAAAGTCATAGCCCTAAAAAATATGGAGATAGCAAGGAAAAACCAAAAAGGGGGCTGTCCAACTTCCTGAAAGCATTTACGAACAGCTGCAACTGTGCCAACATGCTGACTACAGCCAGAAATTATCTAAGAAGCTTTAGGATGATCTCATCACCATCATAGCCCTTGCCCTATGCTATGTAGTGCCAAAGAACACCACTTTATAAAGGCCATAATTTTAGGAGAAAACAAAAGCAAGCTGCATTTTATTGTCTCTTAAATCATCTAAACCTTGATATTTGGTTGCCTGTTCTGATTTGGGGTGGGAGAGACAAGGAAGTAGCAAACACCCCCCCCCCTGCAGCAAGGTTGACTTCCCTTCCACTATACACTATAGTAAAATAATTGTTGCACTATTGCCTCTGTGTTGAGAATATTCCAGAGAGAGAGAGAAAATGTGGGTGAACTCTCTTTGAATGACTTCTTGGCTATCCTTTTAAATAGATTTGTAGAGTTGGAAAGGACCTCAAGGGTCATCTCACCACTTGGTAGTTACCTGGGTCTTCTTTTTTCCCTTTCTCAAACATGGGGGCAACATTTGTGCGCCTCCCGTCCATAGGGCAGTCAACATCTAGCCATTTAGATTCATTCATACTGAACATTAATATAAGATCATAAGAAGGGAGCCCTGTTCAGCAGCCTGAAGGCTAGATGCTCCCCACTCAGCCATTCGCTCCAGAAAGCCACTATGTTCAATGGCATTAAAAGCCGCTGAGATTCAGTAGCGCCACATTCTTCTGTCTCTCTTCTGACGCAGTATCTGTGCTAAACCTGGCCTGAATCCTGACTGAAATGTATCCAAAAAAATCAGTTTAATTTAAGAGAGTCTGAATCTAGTTGGCCACACCTTGGCCAGGAAGGGACATACGCCACTGGGCTAAAATGACGGGTACCTTCTAGGTCCTAGGGAAGGCTTCGTCAGGAGCAGGTTTGCTAATGTCCCTTGCAGGTACCTGAAGATCACCCCCAACTCTTAAAGAGACATTGATCACCTTCCTGAGGCCACTTGGTAACCTTGGGCCAGTCATGGCCTCTCAGCCTAACAGGGTTGTTGTGGGGATTAAATGGAGAGGGGAAGACCCATGGATGCTACCTTCAGCTCCTTGGAGAAAAGGTGGGATACTAATGACATAAAATCAATCAACTGAGACTCATCCAACGACAAGATTGCATTCCTAATAGTTCACTAGATAGCGGGTTACATATGCTTCAAGTTACAGACTCCGCTAACCCAGAAATAGTGCTTCAGGTTATGAACTTTGCTTCAGGATGAGAAGAGAAATCGTGCTCCGGCGGCAGCGGGAGGCCCCGTTAACTAAAGTGGTGCTTCAGGTTAAGAACAGTTTCAGGTTAAGTACGGACCTCCGGAACGAATTAAGTACTTAACCTGAGGTACCACTGTATTCTTAAAATGCCTCACAAACATATCACAGTGGGCTTTGGATGGTTGTACCACGTCCCACAGTTCAGCAGGTCAAAGGTTCTGGATCTTTTCAGAGACTTTTACATACTGACTGGTATGTGTTTGCACATGACTGGTGGACACTGGCAGGGATGTTGTGGGAATCCATGCTGTTTTTCTGTTGTTTTAGTTTCCCCCCTGCTGTTTTCCACCTCTCTTAGTCCTGGGGATGAATTTGGCTGTATGGTCATTCCACTGGTGTAGCTGCCATGTATCTCTTGTCCCAACTTGAAGTAGTGTATACAGGATCACTCTGCTCATGCTTCTGTGCCAAATAGATAACTAGCTGTGTATGTTAAAGGCTCAGATTCCGGAACCAGTTATTTTTTTTCTCCAGCAACTCTGCCTTAATAAACAAATATGTGAAAATTTGTGATTGGCCATTTGCACATCGTACTGATAACAACTGTGGAATGTAACTGCTAAAAAAGAAAATACAAGGAACAGATTTCAGTTGTCCTCATATTAATTGTATAAATGTTGCCTGAGGGCGTGATGCAAAGATTACATCCGTAGATGCCATAAATTATTACTTTCCGGAGAAGCTAGTTCTGAGCTGTAGGTAACAAAAAGCAATTTCTCATCTATCACCAAGTGATATACACAAATTGGTCCAAACAGTAACAACAGCTGGAGCACCAGAGAACAGGATGCTGTACTAATACAACTAAATGCAGTATTTCTGAAGCCAAAAATGTGTCTAAACTCTCAAATACAGTATCATTTACCTTACAAAAGATAGGATACTAGTTTGAAAAAAAATGAATAATGAAGCTGCTACTGAAGTGCCTATAAACCAAAATTCAAAATAAAGGTATATCCCCATTAATTAAAACAACACCAAAAAATGTCAACAAATGCCATCAATGCAAAAAATGAAATAAAATGCCATTAAAAGACTAAAAGGCATGCTTTAAAAATAAATGCATTTTTGTTTAATTTTAATTATGTGAAACAACAAACATATTACATATTATATTTTCCTGCAACTAAATCAAGCTGTATACTCATACAAGCCAATATAGCAGCAAAATCCTGGACTTTAGTATGCTAATGTACAAAATATGCCTGGAATTCACTGTCATAGAACAAATTCTGAAAAATAATTTTCAAAAGTCCCAATCTTTTATTTTGTTAGACTCTAATATAAGTAGGTATCTTTAGCATTTGTGCTGTGTCCCAAATGTTTTTGGTTACAAAAAAAAAAAAAAAAACTGAGGAAAACATCTCTGATGCACTGGATATGAATAACTGAATCAGAAGCTTCTTCGAATTCCATTTTTGAAAATGAAAGGCAATGAATGAGGTAAGGCACCAGTTGTTTATTGCCTCAGTGGAAAAAGGTAAGCAATTGGGGGAAAGGTAAGCAATTGGGGGGGTGCCCCTGTGGAAATTTTACAGAGAGTACAAATTGTTCAAATCTCTGAAACAGATTGTGCGTTAGCAGAAAGCACTCACAGAGCTGAAAGAATGACTGAGAAACTAAGTGATTAAATTGATTTTTAATTAAGAGCAAAGTCTTGGAAAAAATAATTCCAACTAAACAGACAAGGCATTGGGATTTTAAAACATGCATTACCACAAGACACGCAAAATAAGGGGCAAGAAATAAACTATGATGTATTACAGTGCACCTTCTTGAGTATCTGAACTCATATTGTAATTCAGCCCCAAAACATCTGTGTTGCCAAACCAGAAAAGGGTGGGAGAAATCGTCATAGGAACGCAAAAGCTCCATGCAGAAAAAACCCTTAAGAGATGAAATCACCATGTTGTAAGTGTGGAAACACCAAGAGTCCAGAACTCAGTGCTCATTCATCTGCTACATCCCACACCCTGCCTGCAACTCAACTTAGGTTCACTGCTGTCATTCAGCCCCTTTAAGCAGGTTTCTCATTGTGCATTATAGATTTACTTCAAGTGACTCGTGTCAAAATCAACATGGATTGACTCAAAACTGCACTTTTTAAGTTGCTACTGTAATTTGGTCCTGTGAATTGACTCGAAGAGAGACGAAAAAGAAATGTGGCTATACTCCTGACTGCGAGAATAGCAATGGTGGAAATGAACAAATGGAGCTGCAGGTGTCTTGACCATTTTGATCGTAAGCAATCAAAAGGCCTTACTCATTAAGTTCATTGATCTTATTCCCATTGGTTTACAACTGGATCGTGCCTGTTGCCTTCAGTATCTGCGTTCTATTTGTATTTAACTATTTGTACTGAACTCCACTCTGCAACATTTTGTTGCAGGTCCAACTTGTTCAGACATGTTAGGTTGCCCAATACTAGTTCATGTCAATGTTGTGTTATAGACTTCCTCACTAGAATGTGGCACTAACTGCTTTTGGTGATAGGGGAATTGGCAAGATGCACCATTTATCTGACCTAGGAATGCTGTTCTTAACGCTTCTCCTTGTTCATCTGTTTGTCATTTCATGCTCAGCGCAACTACTTGGCTTGATCCATCCTTTCAAAATACGCATATATGTGACATTGTAATTCTTGCCCACGTTCATTTTCAAAAGACAAAACTCAAGAGGCGATCATTATTATACAGTTTTATCCTACAGTTTAGTCTTTTGCACATTGAGTAGAGTGCACAGGGTATGGAAGAAATAGAAAACTTCCTTCTGTAATGCCAGTTTGGTGATTTTTGCCTTAATATGAAGCAAGAAAGAAGTTTCTTATAAGCCTCTCATTGAATTATGTTAGGGAGCAGGTATGTCTGATTCTATTTAATCCCTTTCATGCTCCACTGCAAAAACAAGACAAACTACATTTCTTTTATGCTAAATTCCTTAGGGTTTTTTTTTATTTAAAAAATCTTATATATATTTATTAAAAAATGCAGCTTTGATCGGTAGCACTCATGACATTTCCACATCCAGAAACTCCTCAGAAGCCCCTCCCTCCCTGCACATGAGGCCACCACAGCTGACAGCCAACTGGGTTTGATCACAGCCACTTGGAATCGGATTTTCATAAGACAGACGAAGAGCCTAACTGCTGCTTTCTTTCTCACTCCTATCAGATGAGAAACTGGGGGGGGGGGAGCAGGTCCTGAGGGAACAACGCTACAATCAAGGGCTATGCGGTTCTCTTGCTGTCCCTCTACAGCTGCAATTTTCAAAGAAGCATGCCTCAGGCACTTTCAAATGATGGTGTCTCAATTCTGTAATCATATTTCAAGAGCTTTTTCTTAAAGGGTCTTTTAGGTAAACCTAGTCCGTCAACTACACTTATGGACTCAACAATCACAGCTGCCAATAGGACTGTATATTTAGGGTTTCGCAGAATTGTGCCAGGAAAGCACTGCATGCCAAAAGCCCGTTCTGAAGCAGGCATGCTTATCATTGCCCGTCACCATTACTCCAACAGTGTGCATTGTACGACTTTGGCCTTTCCAGAGAAACACTAAGCCCCTCTGTAAAGAAAGGGACTCTGAAAGAGCAGCACCACACTAATGTCTGGTGCCTACACACTATGTCTTCATTGCATGTATGTATTTAATAAATTGGTATCTTGTTTTTCAAGACAAGTCTTCTCAAAGTGGGTGACAGCCACTATCTATTCCCTTTGATCAACCTTAGGTCAAGCAAGGTAGCAGCTCTTTTTGTAAATATCCTCACTGCTTGCCTCTCCGGTGACGTTCTTTGATCTCTAACTACTCTTTAATGCTATTACAAGCCCATCCTGCTGTCCGAACTACAGCCCTCGCTAAACAGAATGCCATGTTTAGAACAGTGTGGGCCAAAGCTTTGGTGGCAATCCAAAGTCATGCACATGCCTTAGTAGAAATTTGTGGCTGGCCAAATTCAAAGGTGCAAAAATAATTGTCACCTGACCTGATTGTTCCTTAGTCCGTCCATTTTGTTCCTTGCTCACTTCCCATCTTAATTTCACCAATCCTCAATGTTTTTCCTACAGTTCTTTCCAATGCCCCCCAGCTCTATACCTCAGAATCTTAACTCTACCAAAAGTCTCATTGCTTAGCCATAGTGCCCTGCTCCCCTCCAAAGCTTGGACTCTGTTATTTGCAAAGAACTCTTGTAGTTTACGACTCAAAGGCTCCTATCCGCCTTGAAATCTCAATTTTTAAGATTAGTGAAAGGAGCTATAATACTTCACTGTGTATTTTTTAAGGACTGATTCAGCTTGTAGTGGCCTGTTCTGAGCTCTGCTGTAAACCAGACCCAAATCCAAAACCTGCTACTTATTAGTAAAGCACTTGTCAGCAGGGCAGGCTGCAGTTACAGGAGACAGAATAGGGACTGCAATCAGGTAGTTAGTTAAGGCACAGAAAAAATCTGCCCCAAGGCACTGGTATGCCAGAGAAAGGGGTCAACCTTTTCCATCCACCTCAACACCAGTCGTCATTGCCAGTTTGTTCCAAAGAGGAGGCACAACAGGGCATGAAGGCAGCTAAGGTTGCAGCTCTGCTAAAGCTAAGCAGACCTGGGTCTGTGTAATAGTACCTGGATGGTAGTCTGCCTTTGAACCCTAAAAATGCCTCATAGAGTTCTATGATTGAAGGAAATGTAATAATATATCCTAACCACAAGCTTAATTCTTGAAGAGCTGGTCTTTATATAGGCAAAATGACACTATCAATGCATAAGATGGTGCATGGTATCAGCAAACCTGGGTGGAAATCCAGTTTTCAGAAGTACAGCAAAATATTTACAGTGGGGGGCTTGTGTGTGAGAGTGTGTGTATCCAAAATCATCCCAATGAGGACTGAGCATCCTGAAAGACTTGGGGAGGAAAGAGGAAAACCAAGTGGGAGGGGGAATGGGTTGAGTATCTTAGAATTGTAGAATTGTAGAGTTGGAAGGGACCCTGACCCAACCCCCTGCAATGCAGGAATCCTGGGGTGGACTTGAACCACCAGCCTTCTGGTAACAGCCAAACGCACTCGCCTGTTGTGCCACTGGGGCATGGCCAACTGAGTGGAACACTGAAAACACTCTATAGCGCAACATTTTGTCACAGGCCCCATGTGTAAATACATATAAGAAATTAAATGTTGCAAAGAAATTTATAGACTCATCAGGGGCATTAAATCTGCCTTTCCCCCCTCCCAATACCTGACACACAGATTGATGCCATGGGGGGAGTTTTGCTTCTATCCCAACCCTGTTCCCAAGCACAGTGCTTTAATTGCTTCTGGAGAAGTGAGTGGCCACCGTTGACTTCTGCAAAAGAACAAAATGGCTGCATTGGGGCAAAACACCACTCACATGAGGTACCAGGCCTGCCTGCCCATAATTACATTCCTGGGGTCAAGTGAACCCCAAACAACAGAATCCCTTTTCTTTCTTTCTACTTTTCTTTTTTAAAAAGGCATTCTCTTGGCTCTATTTCTCAAAAAGCATATAAGAGAGTGGGACACATGTGAAAAGGATGAAGTTGGATATTACAGGGAATCAGAGGGAAGAGTCTGGAAAAAAGGAAGAACAACCTCTAGTGATGTCCAGAACTACCCACACAGGAACTGACCTGCAGTTACAAAAACAAGAAGGGAAACAAAAGCAAAATACTGGGTTCAACCCTCAGAGAAGGGTCAGGGACCACCCCTTTCAAAATCCTTGTTTTTCCCCCTTATGTAGGTCTACAGAGCAGCCTGAGCATAGAAGAAGCACCTAGCTCTGGGAAGGAAACACTCAAAAGATAGCACTTTTCCAATTCACCTAACAGCCTGGCATCTTCCATCTCATCCAGCTCTATTACTGTGCTGAGCTCAGCCACTTCTGCCTATTTTCCCTGTTGACACGGATAGAAAATTGAGCAATTACCCTTAAATGCCTCTCTCTCAATTCACCCAGATTGCTACATACACAGTATTAAGCCCCCAATTGCCCCTGGCCAAAAGTGGTTCAACCAGGCCTGTCCTTTAGGAATTAAACAATTTTTGTTGCTTGCAAGAGTTTATTATTCCTAAGGTTGTCACTATATTAAATCCTATTAAAGCAGACTTCCCATGGTGCAGTAAGCCACAGACCTTCTCTTTGAGTCTCAGAGCAAGAGGACTTGGATAGAAACAAGGGGAAAGTAGCAGAGGTATGCTGCCTACTGACTTAGCACACATTGCTTAGGTACGTTCATACTTACACACACGCCTGAGCACACAAAGAAGCAAAGTATTGACAAGATCAGTCGGTAGAGCATGAGACTCTTAATCTCAGGGTCGTGGGTTCAAGCCCCACATAGGGCAAAAGATTCCTGCATTGCAGGGGGTTGGACTAGAAGACCCTTGTGGTCCCTTCCAACTCTACAATTTGATGCTTCTATGAAGACTGTTTGCCTTCATTTTTTCATGTGCGCAGACTTCCCTAGTGAATCCCAGTATCTGGGACAGAATTTGTATTTCTGAGAATCTTTGATTTTTAAGAAAGTTAGTTTCTAGTTTCCATGACTATGGAAGCACATTAGAAAATACATTAGTAAATTCTGCAGAAGTGGAAATAACAGGTTAAGAATATGGCATGTAAGTCAGTTTAATTTGTATGAAGAATCTTATATTGTTCCAAGCTCTGAATCTTGGTATTCTTGGCCCAGTATTTTATTACTAAAAATAAGTGCTGGAAAATATTTATGTGCCACTAGAAAGTATGCTATGCTCTCTGAACACAGAAAATATCCAGACCCCAACCAAAGAGTTACATTCTTAGTGAAGAAGACAGGAAAGAATTATGCCACCCATGAAGTATACCTGCCTGTGTGGACCACTGGCTCCACTGCATGTATTAGCAGTTTCATTTCACTGGTTGTGTGAGCTGGTTCTTGCACCTCTCAAGTAACAAATGCCACCCCATTGTTTTGTTTGAGAATGACCACATATTGATCAGTTCCTCATCCCGTATGTAAAATTCCCTTCTCTTTGTAGGCAAGATTGGGTAATTTTATTCTTGTTTTTGTGGAGATTAACCCTGCAGGTCACTTCTCACGTGGCCTGAGATTTAGTCATTTCAAGTTAAACGTAGCACCTCCTGGCAGAAAACATGTCCTTGCCTGCCAGGTTTCCTGCTGCCCTTGTAAATGTTTCCCTACACAAGCACCTTGAGCATTTCTCCACTTGTTTCTCTTGGCTGATAAAACTGTTCCTAGATGCTAGAAGCCCACAGCAAACCAGGCATAGCAGAAGCCCAGTCAGGAAGCTGTGGAAAACCACAGTTGCTATTAGAAGAAAAACAGCAGCAGGAACATTGCAGGGCTGCACCTGCCCATCCTTTGCAGGCAGGCAGGATGCCAAATGGGCCAGACTCTTTATTTCCAGAGGTATTTTTGTAAGACTTCTCAGTATTGTTCTTGAGGTGTGTGAAAGGCTTGCCTTGAGGAGGCAAACAAGGGTGTTCAACAGGCATAGGAACACTAAGCGGTACAGATAAATGGGGAATATCCAGGTTCTAGAGACAATTTCTGCCTTATTTAATGCCAAAGCTAAACCCTTCAATTAATTCCCCATTTCCTGCCCCTAGGCTCTGATGCTACTGGTCTCTCACATTTTCTCCAGTTCTGCAGCAAAGGCACACTTCCTGTAGCTGCTTCCTGTCTTCAACATTCTGGGTACTTTTAGGCGGGTATTTACTCTGGAACAAATACGCTTTATTCACTCACTTTTTAGGTGGCAACCAAAAGCCTTCATCAACCAAAGGTGAATCTGATGCTAGTTCAGTGATTCTGAAGCATTTGGTCTGGGCGAAAAAGTATTAATTTCACTTATATGCTCATCTTGTCCTGAATCAGTGATGACTGACCAGGAGGGGAGCATGCTGTTGCTCTCAGATCCTATTTTGCAGCTTCCCATAGGCATCTGGTTGACCAAAGTGAGAACAGGATGCTGGACCAAAAGGGCCCCTGGCCTGATCCAGCAGGCTCTTCTTATGTCCTTTTGTTTTCTACGCTGCAGTAAAATGTTTTGCGTTTTGTGTTTTGCTGTACGCTGCCTCTGCAAGTGCATTGGGAAGGAGGAGGGTGCTGAATGATCTCTTCCCCTCCCAAACAGTTCCACAAATGGAACATGCCTGCACATACACAAAAAGCACTATGGCCCTGGTAGTGCAGAAAGTCGCTTGCTATGCCTCTTGCGCCTTATAGTAGAAGAAATACCCTTTATCTTACACATGTATCTTAAATTCACTTGATACCTCTGCTAGGGGAGATTCTATTCATCTTAATCTTAACTGAAAAGGCTTCCGGAACACAAATGTAGGCCCCTCAGAGCTCCCCCAAACAAGCTATTTATTGAGCATTCATTCTGGTTTGGTTGCAAGGTGTTTATACACCTTCCTTTTAATAATCTGCTCATTCCACACTTTTCAAGAGCCTATAATTTTTCTAAGCACAAAAAGTCCATATATATTTTGGACAAGGAGCGGGCTTGTTTTCTCCAGCTCCGGAGGGTAGGACATGAACCAATGGATTCAAGCTACAAGAAAGGAGATTCTGGCTCAACATCAGGAAAAGCTTTCTGACAGTAAGAGAAAGCTTGAGTTAAGATTCCTGCATTGCAGGGGGTTGGACTAGATGACCCCCGGAGTCCCTTCCAATTCAATGATTCTATGATTCTAAGGGTAACAAGGCCCTTTAATCCACTTCATTTGTGCAAACCTAATTTTTCTGCTGATCTCCTAAAATCCTATTTTAAAAATTCAGTTAGGAATGCAGGCTCTTACCTTCTTCTTCATCCTCTGCCTCTAAACTCTGCTGTCTCAGGCGATGGCTAGAAGAAACCAGAGACAGAAGACAATCTTAGAGGCATAACTATAAAACGATATCTCCTGAAGTCCTATTTCACTCCACTGTCTGCTGTGCACAACTTCCTCCGAAGAAAAACAGAATAGGGCAAGGTGATTTGAGGGAATGGAAGAGAAGGGGGAAATCGTGAAAATTCCCTCCGCTAAGTTCCATCGCAAAAGTGTTAACTAGAGGAAAAAAGAGTTTTCTGAAAGTGGAGGGGCAGAATTGGATGCAGCCCCCTGTGAATAATGAGGGAGGCAATCTTGGTATCTGTTCCAAATACACCATCACTGAAATGATAGTGGCAGTAGAGACAATGTGATGTCCAAACTCAGAACACTGGGAATGACGGGTTTTTGAGGGTTTTTGCAAATCACGCCTTCATAATCTAATGATTCGGGAAGTCTTCTTAAGTCATGCTAAGCTATTCCTTCTGAGCACTTAAAGAAGAATATGTTCCAATCTTCACTGAGCAAAGCTAACTAAACGTTGATCAGGTTTGCATCAGCAAAAAAACTAGGAAGGTCTACTGCCACAGACAGAAAATAAAATACAAAGATGTCACATTTGGCTGATTCTGTTGATATTTATGCAGAAATGTGGTGGGTGGTGAAGCAAGAAACTTACTCTTCCACTTCTTGTTCTGTGGGTCTCTTTTTTGACCTGAAAGACAAGAAAAGGCCATTGCTGAAACGAGTATAGGGATATTTGCAAGGAAGCAGCAGTAGAAAAATGGGACTTTCAGCAACTCTTTTGAAATCTCTCCTAAGGAAAAGTTTATTTCAATGTAATCCTCGTAAAAGATGATAATGATGATGATGATCATCATCATCATCATCATAATACTAATTATTTATTATTTCTACCTTCCCTAAATAGGGCTGCCTTCAGATGTTTTCTAGAAGTCGGATAGTTGGTATTTTAGTTGATGAGGGCATCTAGATATAACTCAGGATGCTCATAAAACCTAAATGGAAGCCTGTCAACTAAAGTAGTGCCCTCTGTGCAGCAAGTTTTAAAAAGCAAGGGGGAAAGTGTGGAAATTCCTCCACTTCTAAGGCCCAACCAGGCCTTTCATGTGATGAAGCAGCAGCAACAGCAGTGGTGGCTACCAAATTGGATGACTTTAAAAGAGGATTAAACAAACTCATGGAACATAAGGTGATACCACTAGCCGTGATGACTGTCTTCTATCTCCACTGTCAGAGGCAGCATAGTTGTGAATACCAGTTTCTAGAAACCACCGGCGGGGAGAGTGCTCTTGTATTCAAATCCTGCTTGTGGGCTTCCCATAGGTATTTGGTTGGCCACAATGCTAGACTAGATGGGCCTTTAGTGTGATTCAGCAGAACTCTTCTTAAGTTCTTAAGAAACAGCAGATGCACAAATGACTCATGCAGCCTTCTTTCACACTTGTGTCAAATGCAAACTTACACATTTCCCCAGCAGGGAAAATGCATGCATTTCACTGCATGGAGGAGATACACAAGTTTGTGTTGCACTTTGCACTAAAGGGATGTAGAGAGGTTGTACAAGTCACGCTTCACATCTAGACGTTGCTGTTCTCCTGTAACATCTGAAAGCTGCTCTTTTTAAAAAAGCAATGTCCTTTGTATGGGTGGGGGGAGTGCTAAGTAATGGAAGGCAGTCACTGAGCATGTTCTGAGATACAGTATTCTAAAATTTAGATATTGAAAACAAATAGGTGGAGTGAGTGGGTTAAAACTCAAATCAAATGATGGGCTGCTGAACAAAAAGGAATTAACCATTGTACAAGGAGTGTCACAACAAAATTGCGGCAAAACAGGGTTCTCTGTTGCCCGTAAAACTGCCCCTGAACACTAGCCCAAAGCAACAGCAATTTAAAAGCATAGAATCTGCAATCCTTATAGGAAGATTATGCCAGACTAGTGACAGGTACAAACACTTGAGAGAGGAGGCTCTCCGGGCTGTCCCTAGTTCATAAACAAAGAATTTGCTATTTAACCTAGCTGCCTTACATGGCCCTGGAAAAGGCTGGACCAGACGCCTTGTAGTTCAGGCAAAATCTGGCTGAATTACCCAGAGTTCATCATCGTAATAATGTGAAGTTGGAAGGAGAAGGCAGGGCGACAAGGGGGCGGGGGAGATGGCAGGCTGCTCTTTCGCTCGTTCTCCACCCCAGCAAGCCCAGAACTAATTCAGATCCGATTAGGGATGCTTGTTCAATATTCAAAATGTAAAACATGGAGGTTGCTGAACCAGCACTTTGAAAAGTTAATTAAATGCCAGGTTTCTTTTTAGCAGATACTCCATCACTTACTGATTGCTTTGACTATTTCACAGGATGAAGTTTTTTAACTCTGTGTACTGGGAAATACTCTTTTCTCATTTCCTAGAGTGGGGGCACAGCATGACCAAGAACAAAACAGGGCTTTCCTTTACATGTTCTGCCCGCAAGGAAGGACTGCCACCAAAAAATCAAGAGGCAGTACTTTAAAGGGCTTGGAAATATCTGTCTCCTTAGCTTTTATAGAATCAGGCACTGTCTCTAAGTGGCAAATGTTATCAAATGTGGCCTCAACTGCCACTATTTCTTGTTAATGTGAGATAGTATGGCACAGGACTCATTTTCTTACACCGCAGAGCTTCTAACTAGGGTGGCCATGTGTTCTGCTTTACGGAAAACAGTTCTTGGTTTGGAGGGCTGTCAAAGGACAGTCATCTATTCAAAGGCATCCTCTGATGGGCTTTCTAGTCCAAGTCTAGTTTAAAGATGAAGGAAGACCATGAGGGGCCTTCAAGTTGTCCCTCAACAACTAGAACCTAGAGAGAAGAGTAAGCAGGCACAGTGTCCACCTGGCCACAGTCTTTTCTAGTACGGTGAGATTATTTTACTTCAGTTTAAATTATAGTGATTAATTCTAAATTTCCATCTATAGGTCTAAATTAGCGTGTATTAGAATGTTATAATGTTCTGAACTTTGTAATCTGGCCTGAGATTGTTTATGATGAAGGGCAGAACACAAACCCTGTCAATAAATAAAGGAAAAATAAAAACGAACAGTTTACAGTGTCACGTGTTAGTCACTGTGTGAACACACGAGAGAACCAGCCGGCAGAATGCTGATGGTAGAATGTCAGGTTTGAACACAGGGAACCCCAGTTCAAAGGTCTTTTCAGAAATAAAGCCCAGCTTTTGAAAAGGATCTCTCAGCCTAACCTATCTCACGAGGTAAACAATCGGGAACGGGGATGACCTAACCTGAGGCTTTGGGATGGGGGAGGGAAGCAACACGGATGAATACAACACCTGGTTCTGTCAAGCCTGTCAGAGGATATACTTTTCAAATAGGAATAGCTTCTCTAAACACATTCATATACACCACTGATGCTTCCCCTTTTCTCTTTCCCCCTAAGCTACACACCAGATTTTGGGCGAGGAGGCAATTCTCCTCCATAAGTGCCAGTGTCTCAGAGGTTAAGTGCTGAAGGGTGAAAGGCAGCACTAATGTAGACATCATCTCTGCTAAAATGTTTCTCTCCTATTTAATGGAATACTGTGGAGATTTAATGGAGATAAAATAGCCAGGTTCCAAGAAGAGCAAGGATGTTATATTCATGCACGATGACAATGTTCAGTGGTTAATTAGACACCGTTAACCTGTTTTAACAGGGGACATAAGTGGGACAAATGTGGGCAAATGCCCTTGATGTTTTGTAATATCCGTAGCTCAACGCCGGCCCTAGTTATTCTTCCTTGCTGTGGTACAGTACAGTACATACAGCTGAGCACCAGGAGGTCAGCCTATTGTACAGGCATGCAACATAAAATGAATAAATTGCATATGAGTGGTGAAGCTGGTAAAGAACAAGGAAATAATATAAGCTGCTCTGATAATATATTGGATATGGGAGTGTGTAGTCGAAGAGTGATTGGAGACCATCAATGAGACAGGTTTTCCAGAAAATTCCGAATTACACATTTGTAAGTGCATAAGTAGTTTGCACCAAAAACTTTTCAGTTTGCATTGGGGAATTTTCTGATGCCCCTGATGAGTGATCTAATTTTAGAATGTTTTACTTGTATTTGGTAAACAAAAGGTAAAAACTTTGAAACAGTTAATCTTGCAATCCATTCTTTGTTACAAATGAATTTATGAAATGGATTTTTTTTCCACGGAAAAATATAATGCAGTGAAATTTCCCATGCTACATCACAGGGCAATATATGAAACAGAATGATTAGGCAGAGAAATATGAACACACTGAAGGATATCACCTTCATCTTCCTGAAACCTACTCCTTTACCAGCCATTACTACTTGCAAGTATTATGTTCAGAATATACACTTCTGAGAAAATACCTGCTGACACTAACAGTTCTCTCTAAAAAAAGAAGGTAAACAATATCATGCTGGAACCTTGTTTTCTTTGCAGAAGTAAGTTCATCCTGTCACCCTTGACTGGATGTGGTCAAAAAACAAGGTCTGGGTAAAACAAGACACAATCAGGCAGAATATTTGCTTCAGAGAGAGGCAAAACAAGGTGAATGACCCATGAGATTATAACTCAGGTGAGCAACACATGAATAGCTCTGAGGTTTGGTAAAAGCAAAAGGTGCGTTAGGAAAATGGAATGAGTTGAGTGTTTCCACAGCAGTCAATTCTGCCTTCCTCTTTCCTACCAGACCTGTATTCTTTAGACTGGGAGGCCATACTATTGTCTGACTCTGTCACAGCCCCCAGTCCACTTTGGTTAACCCTTAATGCTCAATTTATCCATAGAGGAGTACAATAAGTATTGATGGGGCCGAACTTAGTAGAACAGAGACTGCCAAGGCTGCAACTGTATTGGAGTTTGTGCATATTTCTTTGCAAAGTTTGCCCCCTTCTGACTAAACTTACAACAGCATTTCCATTTAATTCCCTGGCCAGCACTTCTCTGCTTTAAATTCCTCATAGCTTTGCTCCCCCCATGTGAAAAAAGAAGACTGTGGCTATACATATGGTGTAACATGCAGTTCGTCCCCCCCCCCAGGCAGAAAAGGACAAAGAGATCTCATGTTTTCTGGACTTTCATTCAACCATCCCCGCCCAGTGTTCAACTGCCCGTTCAGTTAAAAGACTCCCCTCAATAATTATATCTGTCTGTCTTCTGTTCAACTTCATGAGCAGCTGAGCCATTATGCCTCTGCATTCAAGAAATGATCTCGATCTCCAAAAAAATTACTTTCAGCAATAATTCTGGAAACCACAGTTGACTGTCCTGAACCCTGCGACAAGTAGTGTTGTACTCAAAGAGTCATGTTACTTTGAAAACTCCAAAAACAGAAGGCCGATGTAGACACACAGGAGCTACAGTGCCTAGTTTTTTCACTTCTGGAGAGTGACATACACAGGCAGAGCGACCCAGTAGTGCTAGTTGTGAGGGATGGGGATCGACAGAGCTCTGCAGGGAGCCAAGGACTGCAATATCAAAGATGCTGTAGGTCCAGATGCAGAAGCTCTGTCATCACAGCTGAAGGGGATGTTTCAGCATGGCAGTGAACATACTTCCTAGCCTGTCTATGCCATTTCTCTTTTATGAATGACCCGCAAAACGAAAGCCCCTTGAAGACGCCCTCTTGCTAGAAGAACAGAAGGGAAAGGAAAGTACTGATGTTCACAGACATTTTATTCTTGAAGAGCGGATTCATCAAAGGGAAAACAGAGCAATTTGTTAGGCTTGTAGCATTCAAAATCTCTCCGCTTCCAAACAAAGCTGCTGAAAACACGGGGAGCTTTCGCAGATTGCCACTGGCTCAAGGGACGGAGAAAGGACAGAATTTTACTTCTTGCGTAAACAGGAATGCAGCACTTTGCAAGGCCAAGTTTTCAGTCCTTATGATATGGTCTTGTGGACCAAATCTGCCAGAGACTCAAACTTCAGAATCAGGACAGAATTTCCATTGACTAAGAGCAGCAACTACTACTGCTTTTACCTGGATTATAATTTTTAGCTCTAAGATATATATGCTAAAAACTATAAATTTGTGATCAATGTAAATTGAATTATTCTCCTTTTTTGCACAGACTACTCCAGTTAGGGGAGAAAAGCAATTTTAGTGCAGTGCTGAAGACCCAGCTGCAACTTGCCTAAATTACATGGAGTTGTCTATAACGTGTATGTTTTAGTAGGGCTACTATGAATTTTCTCCAGTGTTGATTTTGGAAGTAAAACAGCAGTTTGGGGAAAATAGTCTTTTCCCTATAAGATACTTCAAATGTGTGAATATTCACTTAAAAAAAAAACCTACTTTACTGGATTTTACACAGACTCTGAAAACATTTATTATTTCAAAACTGCTTTTTCATATGTGGTGCTGTATTGTTTTAACTTGTTGTTTTAATGCTCTAATGCTGTAATGTTTTGGTTTTATATTGTGTTATTAATATAGTATATATTATATCTTCTGTCTTGAAAGGCAACATATACATTAAAAAAAATCATCATCATCATCATATTGAGGACTATTGTTTTCTATGTCTGCTTCTGCTCTCTCAACCCCACCCTGGGATCACACAGAGCGCAGGAGGAAGTGGGTTTGATTATGTGACTGCATCACTAACAAAACAGAATGCGGGAAACATGTTTCCTGGATTAACCACATTGGTGACCCTAGCCAATCAAGATTATATAGCAAGCAGGATCATGTCACTATACTACATAGCCAATAGATGTGATTACAGGATATCAATGAGAGTGAGAGCAAGTGAGAGCAAGATGAAATCTTTACAAGGTAAAATAATTTCCCCGGCCTAGAATTGCCAATGGTATTTGTGAAAATCTGGAGGAAATTTCAGCTCCGTCCTTATTAGCACCAGCATGGCGTGCACTTCAGCCATATTCCACCCAGCAAAATCTCTGATACCAGGAATGGTTATGCTAGTATATATATCACTTCCAGGGTCCTTTGTCAGAGGGCAGTGACAGCAGCAAACTTCAACGAAGTACAAGGCAGCCAACCTTCTGACGTTTGCAACTTTATTCTTTTTCACAAAGGAGATTTATGATGAAACAAAAAATATTCACATTATAAACAAAATGATAATTAGTGGCATAGCAGCCTCCAACATTAGCACTTTTACTGGATACAATTCAGATCCCAACTCTCTCAGTATTAAGCTATACATCAGATGCTGCGTTAAAGCTCATAAAAAATTATACCACTCACCTACGAATGTAACATCCCTGATAGATCAGACCAAAGACTTATGTAGTCAAGCATCTTGTTCTCCCAATGGCTAACCAGATGTTCTGGGAAACCCACAAGTAAGCCCTATATGCCAAAGCCCCCCCCCCCTTCAGCACTCTCTCGCTCATGTTCTCCAGCAACTGGTATTCAGAGGTATCCTGCCTCTTATACTGGAAATAACAAACAGCCATTGATAGCCTTATCTCCATTAACTTATTTTAAAGCCACATAATTTGGCTATCATCACTGCATCTTGTAAAGAATTAACAGCATTGCAGTTTATTGTGTAAAGCATTTCCATTTGTCTATTCCTGGGGTCCCAAATGTGGTGCCTTTGGGCACCATAATGTCCTTAGTCACCTGCGAAGGCCCTGTGCCCTTACCAACTGTATTTTATTTTTCTAACTGAGAGCTTTTCTGACTTTGGCGTGGTGGGTTGTCTGTTGTTGTTTTTTGCCTGTGTTTTCTTTGGGGGGTTTGGAGATTTTCTTCTCTGAAATGCCTCTTTTTTTGGTGTTAATGTGTCTCCAGGCCCCAAAGGCTGGGAATACCCTGTCCACCCGGAATCTTCCACCATTCAGCATCATTGGATCATCTTCTCTGAACCATGCACTGTTTTATACACCTTGATCATGTCCTCTCTTCTTCACCTTTTTCCAAAGCTAAAAAGCCCCCAAAGTAACCTTCTGTCATACTCCATACACTTGGTGTATGGTGTATGTTGGTTGCCATTTTCTGCACCTTTTCTAGCTTTACTGTTTGACTTACTCTGCTTAAGAAAACAATGTCTCAAAATGATCAGGTCTTATAAGAAAAAAGCAGAGTAACAAAACCCTACCACCATTTTGTAAAAATCCTGCTCTTCCAACTTTTCTGGATAAAAAGTAGAAAAGCAACAACCAATTGTGATTACCCACACACCCCTAGGATTAACAGAACAAATAAACCCAGAGAACAGAACACTAAATTGACCCTACAGCCACCTTTGTACAGGTAGCAGATCCTTAAGGTAAGTCTTCTGCTTCCCCCTTCGCCTTTGCCTTTGTTGCTGTGTCTCAACATAAGAATTGGCTGTGAAAAGGCAAGGAGAGACTGAAGGAGGCAATGACACTGAAGGAGAAGAGGACAGGAGCCAGTTAGCATTCCTGGAACATCCACTCTATAAAAAGAAGGAAAAAAATCCAAACCCACACGCTGTAGCTCTCCCGCCATCTTGATGCCCTTGATGCGTGCTGATGGCATGGAGGCGGCTGGCACCAGAACAGCCCAAGAGAAGGAACGAGAGGCCAATGGAGATTTATGTGAGGAGAGTGAGATGGACAAGGTAAAATTGTCAGGAGGAGTTGTTAGAAAGTAAAATATATTGTGACAATTCCACTCCTGCCGTTCATCAATAAACTGACAGATCATTTAGTGTCAATTAGGTGTGATAGATGGACAAGTCCCCATGATCCCGGGCCAAAATTAATGGCTGGGAGGGAGAGGGTGATTGAAAATGACGGCTGACATTGAGAAGAAAGTCCTGAAGGTCCCCAAGGGGCCATTACTTGCCTCATTCCCTTGCAGATCAATGCAGGGACAAACCCAAAAACAGACACTTCGAGACAAAACTTAATCAGACTTCCTTTCCTTCCTTCCAAGTTCTGCTCGCTCACTCTGCTTCCTGTGCCCCCCGCCTCTCCCGGTCCCTGAGCAAGGGCATCAACAGGTGGACGCGTATAGGGAAAGGCTTTCATCTAAAGGTACTTAAGATTCAGGAGCCATGGCAGTGCCACCAGCAAGCCCCCTTCTTAGACTATGGGCTGGTTCAAACACCCATAGGGGACATTTATTGGTGCCCTCCCATTTAAAATGTTGAAGGGAGAAACCTCTCTATGAACCGGGAAGTATGTAGGTGCCAGTAGCCGGGGGGGGGGGGGAATGCCATTGTAATAGTGGAAGTGGCTCCTATAGGATGCTAGCCATGAACAGCATAATTCTCTTAATTTTTAATGTCTTAATGGTTCAATTTGATTTGTGATAATACAGTTACATTTTATTTTTATCTCATTTTTGTCTAATTTTAAGAAAATGTATTGAAATTTGCCATATTGGTTTTTTATTTTTATGCCAACCACATTATTATATTAAGCAGTACATTTTTAAAATACTGTAAATAAAGTATATGGCGATATCTCTGCATAACCCCCTCTATTGAATATTTACTGGGGTGGCCAAAAATAAACATCCATTTTGCAACCCCGACTTTGGCAATAGAAAGCTTTTGCTAGCATGAGAGGAGTTACTCTTGAGATTTTATCAATTCTTAGAATCACTATGTACAAAGAAAATATGATGGCATTATTAATAATTTGAATTCAGAGCCCAACTTGTTCTGAAGACGTGGGATGGGAAACTATAAAAATTAGATCATCAATGGGAAATATCCTATTAAAATCAAATTAATTTCCATCTGTGATTAGCAGATTTTCACATCTCCAGAGTCCTCAAATTAAGGATTCAATCGCCAGTTTGGTTTCCAGTTCTGAGGTGCTAAGCCTCAGGTGCTTAAATGCTTGTAGACTTCCCAGCCTCAACCTTGTCAGCCTCAACCACTTACTGCTAGCTCAGAACCCAAAGCTGCCCCTGATAGATGTCTCGTTTACTTCAGAGCTTTCCAAAGAAACTTCACCTCCCTCTAACCATCTGCAGAGTGAACTCTCAAAACACTTCTGAATTACAGATGTTCTTGAGGTACAATCTGGAAGTTTTCATATGGAAAATTGCACCCCCAAAAAGCTATCGTACAGCTGGAAAATGTTCAGAAAAGAGCAAGCCAGATGAGCAAGGGTGTGGGGCAGCTCCCCTATGAGGAAAGGTCGCAGCATTTGGGACTTTTTCCATTTAGAGAAAAGGTGAGCAAGAGGTAACATGAAATAATTTCAAAGAACTATACATGGCATGGAAAAAGTAGCTAGAGAAGAAAAAATTCTCCCTCTCTTATAACACTAGAACTCGTGGACATCCAGAAAAGCTGAATGCTGAAAGATTCAGGACAGACAAAATAAAACGCTTTTTCATGAAGCGCATAATTCAACTATGGAGGCAGTGATGGCCACTAATCCAGAATGGCTTTAAGAGAGGCTTTGACATATGAACGGAGGATAAGTTTGTCAATGGCTACTAGCCACAAAGCAGGCTGTGTTCTGCCTCCACAGTTGCAGGCAGCATGCTTCTGAATACCAAATTTTGGAAACCACAGGAGATGAAACTGTTCTTGTGCTCCAGTCTTGCTTGTGGGGCTCCTATAGGCATCTGTAAGATGAAGATGTTGGACTAAATCAGCCGTTGGCCTGATCCACCTGGCTCTTATGTTTTTAACTACATCTTGCCTACATTATTCAGGAAAGAAAAACATTCATCCCTTATAGAAACATTTCTTTCTAGCCTCACCCCCGCCACGCACCCCACCTTAGATCTTGAATGTAAATCAAAACACATCAAATTTCTCCCCAAGGTTTGATGCCCCTGTTCTATGCATTCAGGCACCCATTACAGAGGAGTTATTTTCCTGTGCTTTTAGCTGATTCCTCTTTAATTGTTTTGCTCTGTTCTAGTTGCTAGGTAAAGGTAAAGGGACCCCTGACCATTAGGTCCAGTCGTGCCCGACTCTGGGGTTGCGGTGCTCATCTCGCTTTATTGGCCGAGGGAGCCGGCGTACAGCTTCCGGGTCATGGTCAGCATGACAAAGCCGTTTCTGGCGAACCAGAGAAGCACGGAAAAGCCATTTTACCTTCCCACTGGAGCGGTACCTACTGATCTACTTGCACTTTGACGTGCTTTCGAACTGCTAGGTTGGCAGGAGCAGGGACTGAGCAACAGGAGCTCACCCCGTCGCGGGGATTCGAACTGCTGACCTTCTGATTGGCAAGTCCTAGGCTCAGTGGTTTAACCCACAGCGCCACCCGTGTCCTTTAGTTGCTAGGTACTGCACTACAATTTTCAAGTTCTGCACATTTAATGGTGAGTTTTATTTACTGTATTGTTTTTATCAATTTATATTGTGATTATATTACAGTCAGCCATTTGGAGCCTATTTTGAGGAAAGAAAGCAGGATAACAACAACATCTTTAGTACTCAATTTAGTACAGGCGAGTTTCAGGCCCCCAAATGAGGTAATTAAGCTTCTATCCTATATATACTTGCATGTGTCAGTAGACAAGCACAGGATTGCGGTTGTCAATCTAATTATTCATGCTAGTTGTCAATCCCACCCTCCTCCTTTCTTGTTCACTGTGCTTTCTGTGCTGATGGGGCTGGAAAATATATCTTATAATATCCCTGTGAAATTCCTTTTCACTCTTTCCAATACTGCTTGTCTGGACAAATCATTTAGAATTCTGCATCAGTGTAATTTTGTATAAAAATTCAATTGCAACAGCAATAACAACAATAATAGCACTTTATTCAAAGTGCTTCGCATACATTATGTTATTGTAATCATTATTACACATATGTAAGTTGGTAAATATTAGTATCCCAATTTTGTTGATGGGAAGTGGCTTATCTAGGTGAGTTTATGATAAGAGGCAATATTTCAACTTACTGCAGATTTTCCAACTGCAGCTCTTAGGCACTACTCTACATTAGCTCAGCTTAGAAACAGTAGTTTGCATATTATTTTAAGTGTTCACAATGAAGTAAAATATGTCCTTTATTTAGGCTCAGCTGTTTAGGGTGCTTTGAGAAGACTGACGGGTGCAGGTAGGGACTTCATGAAATGCCCTTCATGATGCTCTTGTACTCCTCTGGTCCCAATTCCCCAGCTATAATACAGCAATATAGAGACCTAGCCACTATCTCTCCTAGGAGAGACATAATTAAGACTACAGCAAGTAAGCAGTTGTATTGATAGCTCCCACCAATATATTTTTACTTTAAGACAAAGACAACATAATATGTTTCATGTATGGAAACAAAAAGTAATCAGGAATTTATGCTTAATATCGGTTGGGGGTTTTTTTGTTTGTTTGTTTTAAACAAGATCAGAGAAAGGAAGAGATACTACAGACTCCATACAGGAGATCTCTAGAAACTACTGTGTTTTTAGAAAGATGTCGAGGTGAGTCTCTCACTGCCGTCCTCCCTTCATTCCACTGAAATTTCTTAACGTGAGTACTCTTTGTCAGGCGCCTGATGATCTCTTCAGCAAGCACATGCTCTTTTCCCCTTGTGTCTTATAAATATAATGCATGAGCTAACATAACGGGCCATTTACTGTAAGTCTGTTTATCAAAAGGTAATGATGTCATGAAGCGCCTCTGTGTCCATCAGCTTTCAGAACAGAATTGGAGTGCCCTCTGCTGGTTGGAGATTGTGTTTGCCGCAGAAAGAATATATATTAGGACTTCAGCTAACTGTATTCTGAGAAGAGTGGGTGAACTACATAGAGGGCAACTAGAGCACAATTTCTTGTTCGCTTTGCTGTTCATACATGCTTTGAATTACTCCTCTTGTTCTGTGCAAGAATTTGCCCTAATCACTAGTTTCAGTCCTCCTCACCCACCTTTCTTGCACTCTCTGAGTGAATGGGGCTACAGGCAAAATGTATTAACACACCTATGTAACCTTTTTTTTTGCTCTCAATCTGAATTTCAGGATATTAGTATTATATGTTTATTTATACCCTGCCTTTCACCCTGATGGGACTCAAGGCAGTCATACTATACATAGAAACAGGAATAGCTAAAAACGTAGAAAAAAACACAATTAAAAAAACAATTATATATATTGTTTAAAACATACAAATCATTACAATAAATATAGCACAGCAGGGCACAAGATTAAACAAAACAAAACAAATATTGGTGTTAATCGTGGGGGGGAGCATATAACCTGAGTTACATGCACTTCATAGTTTCTTTAAAACTTGGTATGTGGAGGGGGGTTTTTTAACAGAAAACTAACCAACTATTCATCTAGTAAGAAATAAAATTAGCATTAGCATACTCAAACTTAAGCATTAAGTTTGGGCAGTCTTTGAAAAGGAAGAGTGATAAAATAAATAATAAAATTAACAAAAATTTGTTATTTTATTCCTTTTGGTATGCCAAAGCTGCTGAAGATGCTCATGAATTCATCTCTGCCAGCTTTGTTGCACTAACCAGAAGGAAAACGGGCTGGGGCAAGTATGAAGGGCATCTCCTCTGCAGTCACTGATGTCAGAGGAAATGGAATTTAACAGCCTAAGGAAATGCATCTAGCAGGGTGTAAAGACCTAAGGAGCAACAACCAGGAAGATAGCTGCTATTCTAGGAAACTGTCCCAGTGACCACAACAGCACACTTTGAATCATTGTTGAGTTAAACAAAACTGCACTCACTTGGAAGCGCTGACGCCAACTGAGCCATACCATACTTTTTGCCGCATTTTTTCTGGTTTAGCTGGTGAATGCTTACAGTAGGCAGCAAGCAATATGAGGGAGAAACAGGAAAGAAAACCTAGGTTATTATTTTATTATATAATAATAATTTGCATCCTGCCCTTCTGTCGTACAAATAGAACCTCCAGGATGGCTTTACAATCATAACAAAATCAACCTCAAACAAACTCAAAATAATAATAGTAATTTAAGCAAATAATGCAAACATTTATACAATAAAGGCAAACATAACGGCTTAAATTTGTGGAAGTGGGATTTCCCTTGGGATTAGGCTTTGAAGAATGAGACAACCCTAGCCAAATCCACAGCAGACACATTTACACCAATGTTTACAAAACAAATTTCTCATTCCAAATTCTGATATGGCATATCACAGAAAATCCGTATATACAGTTAACTCTCTTGAGGACTTGCATAATATCCTAGTCTCTTCCTCACTGAGAAATTGTTCTACTTGTAGGGCAGTGACTAAGAAACCAATCCATCCCTGGTGTAAATCTCACCAGGTGACCTAAGGCAAACCTCTCTCTCTCTCTCTCTCTCTCTCTCTCTCTCCACCAGAGATGGAGGATTCCAGTTTTGAAGGTTCTTCCACATTCCCCCACGATAAGAAAACTAGCACATGTTCTAGCCAGACTGTTCTCATTTTCTATTTGAAGTTTTTTTTAAAAAAAATAATAATGTAGGGGAGCATTCTAAATTATGATTGCCCTTGTGCAATCTAAACAGATACAATCCATTCTACCACCTCAGCACTTTCCCACTTCATTCTGCTACACGTTTGGACCTGGCTTCAGCCCAACCAATTCCAGTTGCCACATCTCAAAAAGGATGCCATAACACTGGGAAAAGTATAAAAAAGTGCAACCATAGTGGTAAGTCATTGAATCGTTTTTCCTATTAGGAAAGGTTTTAAAGCATAGTGGAAAAGTCTACTATGGGGGAAATCATGTGACAGGGTTTTATAAAGTTATGAATAGCGTGGAGACAATGGTTAGATTCCCCCCCCCCTCCAAATCCTAGAATTTGGGATCTCATAATAAAATTAGCTGGCAATAGTTCAGCCTGGCAAAAGGAAGTGGAATTTGTCGTAATTAAATATTCAAAACATATGATAAAAGAATCAGAATTATACAGCTGGAAGGGACTATGAGGGTAATCTAGTCCAACCTTCTGCAATGAATGAATCTTTTGCCCAATGTGGGGCTCAAACCCTGAGATTAAGAGTCTTATACTTGGGGCTTTTTTCCAGCCGGAACACATCAGAACTGAGTTCTGGCACCTCTTTTGTGCATTCCAGCACCTCTGCAGCGTTACAATGTCCTTCCCCTAAAAAAACTTTGGTTCCGGCACCTCTTTTTCTATATAAAAAAGCCCTGTTCATGTCCTACCAACTGAGCTATCCTAGGGGATGGACTGCTAGGTTCATGGCCTACTGGTTTACAGTGGTACCTCTGGTTGCGAACAGGATCCATTCCAGAGGCCCGTTCGCAACCTGAAAAGAGTGCAACCTTGTGTGCATGCGTGAAGCACGATTTAGCGCTTGTGCGCATGCGCAAGCAGCGAAACCCGGAAGTAACCCTTTCCAGTACTTCCGGGTCGCCGCAGGACGCAACCTGAAAAGACGTAACCTTAAGTGTCCTTAACATGAGGTATGACTGTACTTTCCATCTGGCTAGCCATTCTTAGAATCAGGATGCTGAACAACATGGACCATTGATCAGATCCAGCAGGACTCTTATTTTCTTAACAGCTGATCCCCCAGCTGTAGTCTACAGTGGTGCACTCCTGAAAGGATTACCACATGTTGTTAATACATGTTTGAGCTGACTATCAGGAACTCTAACAACATTTGCAGAGGTGTAAAGTCTTCAGGTCACTTCAGCTTTTTCATTGCTAAAGGGGGTGGGGAGATAACATTCTAGATCCCTCCAGAAAGTAGCAAGAGAACAGAATAGATCCTGAGGGTCTTTCAAAAGCCATTGCGACCTTCACTCTGGTGGAAAGGCCCAGCATCTTCTACAGGTGAGGGGGAAATTGTTTTGTGATGTAATGTTTGTGACTGTGGGAAATAGACAATACTTGTCATTGGGGTCCGTTGCCTGCTGGAAGAAGGGGGCACGACCCAACATAGCTCCCTATGAGGAGCAGAAATAGTAACTCTCCAAAAATAAACAGGGAGAAGGAATGAGCCGAGAGCTGCAGTTTCAAATACCAGCTTTCTTCAGCAAAGGGGGCGCAGAAGGGCAGAGGGACAAACGGATAGCTTGGAACGCAGGAAACAGCTTCCTTATATGGGCTCATCCGCAAGCGACAGAGCTCAGTCGACTGGAATGACTGTGTCACAAAATGTGAAGCCTTCAGGGGCTGCAGTGAATGGAGTTTTCTGATCTTTAAATGATTCCTCCAGATTCTTAAGATGCCAAAACCAAGAGGCTGTAGTGCCAAAAAAGGAGCATTTCAAACTGGGATGTTTCAGAAAAACATACCACATATGGATGTACATGCACACATACACAAAAGAGCCTACACATAGTTTGTCACCCTACCAAAATATACCACCAAAATATACACAGAACCTTCTCATGGAATCACATTCATTTGTCTTATATGCAAGCACTGTAACCTATTTATTGTAAAAAAAACCAAACCCTTTTACATGGAGGTCTCTAATAATATTCTTTGTCCGCTGCCCATAAGTAAATTGCACATATGTACGTCACAGTACAAGCCATCCTCAGGCAACACAGCTATCCTGCTGCTCCATCTCCCTGAAAAGAGTACTAACAATCCTTTCTAAAATGGAAATCATACGCTCAGATGGCTATAAGTGCAACTCTTTCCAAAGCCCAACAGTTAAGGCAATCCTTCAGTGGCACACGTACCAGATTCTATCCTATTCCTCACACAGCGTATGGCCCACCATGAAAACTGCCTCCCAAGTGTTCCTTGAGGTGTGGGGAACAACACTCATCAGCTCCAGCAAACATGGCCAATGGCCAGGGATTATGGAAGTTGTAGTTCAGCAACATCCAGAGGATCAATGGTTCCCCAGTACAGATGTCTCCCCACTTGTGTGCGATCAGCATGTGCGCTCCTGCTGACATGTGTGCTGTTTTCAGTGGCAAAAGGGGGTGGTGGTGGAATAGGGTGGGGCAGAACAGAACAGGGGAATCCCCACTCACATGAGTCCCGGTGACATGCACCTCAGCTGGGGACGGAGCCCTGCGTAAGTGGAGATTCCCCTGTATATTATTCATATTGTGAGACGGGTTCAGTGACAAAAAGAAAAGGCAAAGGGATGCAATGCAGTCAAACAGCTGGGGCCGTTAGTTTTAGGGTGCCCCCCAATTCCCATCAGAGGCCAGCAGGAAATGAGTTTCCATGAGTAGAAAGGTACATGTTGTCGCCATCAGCAGAAAGGGGACAAGAGAAGTCAGGAGCATGAATGACAGTGTGCATGTGTCTTGTATACATACATGAAGGGCAGCTGTGTACCAGCTCCATCTGGTACGCAGGCTGAGACCCTATCTGCCTGCGGACTGCCTCGCCAGAGTGGTGCATGCTCTGGTTATCTCCCGCTTGGACTACTGCAATGTGCTCTACGTGGGGCTACCTTTGAAGGTGACTCGGAAACTACAACTAATCCAGAACGCAGCAGCCAGACTGGTGACTGGGAGCAGCCGCCGAGACCATATAACACCGGTCTTGAAAGACCTACATTGGCTCCCAGTACGTTTCCGAGCACAATTCAAAGTGTTGGTGCTGACCTTTAAAGCCCTAAACGGCCTCGGTCCAGTATACCTGAAGGAGCGTCTCCACCCCCATCGTTCTACCCGGACACTGAGGTCCAGCACCGAGGGCCTTCTGGCGGTTCCCTCGCTGCGAGAAGCCAAGTTACAGGGAACCAGGTAGAGGGCCTTCTTGGTAGTGGCGCCCTCCCTGTGGAACGCCCTCCCACCAGATGTCAAAGAGAACAACAACTACCAGACTTTTAGAAGACATCTGAAGGCAGCCCTTTTTAGGGAAGCTTTTAATGTTTGATGTATCACAGTATTTTAATATTCTTTTGGAAGCCGCCCAGAGTGGCTGGGGAAGCCCAGCCAGATGGGCGGGGTATAAATAATAAATTATTATTATTATTATTATTATTATAGAAGAAAGGAGGAAATTTGTAACTATTATTATTATTATTATTACTAATATTTCATTTCTATATGACAAACTCATAAAAATATATCTATGCAGAATTCAAACTAAAACCAATTTTAGACTGAATAGCCGTCTCCCCATGTCACATAGCAATGAGGAAAGTTTAAAAAGCAGTTTGTCATATTATAAGAAAGTGAATTCCACTAGGTAGCAGAAACCCCTTGCATGGCCCTAAGAAGCTCTTTGGATCCAAGCCATTAAGGGGATCATTGAAAATGATTCTTTTATCTTCACACTAATTTTGTATGCTGGGTTTTAATACATTTTTAGGAATCTAGAATTATACATTATGCACTCAAGTGCAAGCTTTCCAAGAATAAGAAATATTCTTATTTCTTATTCTTATTCAAGAGTAAAAATATTCTGACGGGTTTAACCCAGGAGACAAAAGTTGCAGTCTTATGGAACACTTACTTTGGAAATAACGCCCATGGAATTCAGTGGATTTACTTTTAAATAAACTTGACCAGGATCTGAAAATAATAATGGAGTGGTGAGAGAGGTGGAGGAATGAGGAGTGTACAGAACTTTGAAACTGTAAAATGGAGAGCTATTGGAAGAAAATGGTATAAGGAGGGTTGAAGGCACCAGGCAGGTCAATAAACAGCCCTTAGATATTTGTATAAGGTAATTTGGTGAGAGTAGTTTCAAAAGAGTGAAACAAGCAAAAAATAAGATCAAGCAGAGACCTGGGAGGATAAGTCACAGAGAGTTATAAATTATACGCTTGAAAAATGTGTAAAGGAAAGAGAGACACAGAGCAATAGGTGGAAGGAGAAGTGGGATCAAAGGTAGCTTTTACTAGGAATGGCAGAGATTTGAGCTCTTGAAAACATAGGGGAAGAAGCAAAATGAACGAAAGATGTCAAGAGACACACAAAAAGTCAGGAGAGAACAAGGTCAATATATGGAAGAGATTGCAAGACTGGAATATAAGAACTTTAAAATATAAGAAAAGCCTGTTGGATTAGGCCTATCTAATCCAATATCCTGTTCTCTCAGTGGCCAGCCAAATGCCTGTAAATAGAACCCAAGTACTAAAGCACTCTCTCCTACTGCCTCTAACTGTGGAGGCAGATCATAGCCTCCAGCATGGCTAGCAGCCATTAACAGATTTATCCTCCATGAATTTCGCTATCCCTCTTTGAAAACTATTCAAGATGGTGGCTATCCCTGCTTCCTGAGGGAGCAAGTTCCATAGTTTAACTACACACTGTGTGCAGAATTACTTCATTATCTTTCAGGAATCTTCCAACATTCAGCCCTGAATTCTAGTATTATGACAGAGAGAGAAAACAACTTTTCTCTATCCACTTTCTCCATGCCATGTATAATTTTATAAATGCCTATCATGCCAATTCTTACTTACTTTTCTCAAAATTACCAAACATTGCAAACTTTCCTCATAGGGGAGCTGCTCCAACCACTTTATCATTTGATTGCCCTCTTCCAAATGTTTTCCAGCTCTACCATATTCTTTTTGAGGTGAGAACTGTACAAAGTATTCCAGATGCACTTACAGCATATATTTGTACAGCAGCATTATGATGTCAGCAGTTTTATTTTCAATTCTTTTGCCAACTTACATCAAGCTATCCACTATGACAGCAAGATATTGTTCCTGGTCAATAACTGCTAGTTCAGACCCCATGAACAAATATATGAGATTAATATTTTTGCCCTGACAAGCATCATTTTACACTTGTTTACACCCATTCACTCAGTTTGAAGAGGTCCAGTGTCTTTTTTATATCACTGAACAATTTTGTATCATCCGCAAATTCTCTCACTGAAACTGAACGGGGTCAATTATCTTCCAATCGTGTCAATTTTTTTCAGTGGAAGCCATTACTATATAGGAATCTGAATATACCCCTTTTGCTGATCACTCTGTGTGATGGAGGCCTTTTCAACCATGTTTGTACATGAAACACATTTGTTCACTGAAAACAAATCTGGAGTCTCTTGCAACTTGAAACACCTCAGTGGAGTTCAGATTTAAAATCCTTTGAATATCCTTCTTATAGGCTAATTTGACTACACAACTCCTGACAGCAAGCTGCAATTTTATCTTTCCCACACATCATACTGCCAGGATCCAATGATCCCAGGCCTCTCCCTCAGGGGGCATATGTAGACCCATATAGCCACAGTGTCCTAGGAGGCAAGAGATGTGTGGTGTAACAGTCTGCAGCCAATGGTTCCCTCCTTCTTCCTTCAGTGGGCTCAAGCTGGAAACTATTCAAAGAATGAAATAAATGTGTGGAAATAGAATTTTAATATAAGTCTTTCCCATGGCTTTGTGCTCAACACTCAGCAATCTTCAATGCAAACTAACAGCGAAAACTAAAATGAAAAGGGCTGGGAAATAAAAGATGCTTAAGAGAGTTATTTTGGTGAGGATGATGAAAAATGTTATTGAGGATAAGGAGATAACCCCAGCAGGCTGAAAATAACTAGGCAGCTATTCAGGGTGCCAGGGGCTGACGAGAAGGCCTTGGGGAGCTCCAGGCTGAATGAGGCCAGAGCTCATTCGAAATAAGCCGGCCTAATTAGGGAACATGAGTTCAACTACATTTTTCAGATTCCTGTTGGAGAATTTGGCCATATTCCTAGGGAACAGCTGGAAGCCCAACACATTTGCAGGCCACTGGGTAGTTTCAGGAGGAGAAACACTGATCCATTACACAAACCTGAGTGAAACAGGCAAAGCTCACCTATCCTGATCCTCTTCTGATGGAAGGTACATCTCTCCCACCAGCCAAAGGTCAACTATGAATAGGACACATTAGTATATTTCAGTCCAAGAACCAGTGAGTAGATATGAAAGGATATATAGCAGTGAAGTCATTCCCAAGGAGCTAAGCACATTGCATGTGTGAACTACAATAGTCTGGATAGAGAACAGCAATGTCATATCATAGCAAGTGTAGATTGCCATATATGTATAATGTGACTTGACGTGTGGGTCTTATGTACCACAACTGCATAACACACTGCTCCTCAATTGTGGCTTGTTGTCCACAATCATAGTGTGTAGCAAGTTTGCACCAAACTGTAGCACTGCAGAGAGTGGACAGTTCCCATGATGGGAAGTCTGAGGTACAAATAATAACATTACATCACTATGATACATCGCAAAAAGCAAAACTTTGGCAGAATAGCACAGTAGGACCGTTTCACACATGACTTTCATAGGTATACCCTAAGATTCTAAAGTCTGCATCTAAAATGTAACATATAACACATGTAAAAAATAAAAAAGGCAAAGGACCCCTGGATGGTTAAGTTCAGTCAAAGGTGACTATGGGGTGCGGCGCTCATCTCGCTTTCAGGTCAAGGAGCTGGTGTTTGTCCACAGACAGCCTTTCAGGTCATGTGGCCAGCATGACTAAACTGCTTCTGGTGCAACAGAACACTGTGATGGAAGCCAGAGTGCATGGAAATGCCATTTACCTTCCCACTGCAGCGATACCTATTTATCTACTTGCACTGGTATGTTTTCAAAGTGCTAGGTTAGCAGAAGCTGGAACAGAGCAACAGGAGCTCACCCCATCGTGCAGATTTGAATCGCCAACCTTCCAATCAGCAAGCCCAAGAGGCTCAGTGATTTAGCCCACAGCGCTGCCCACATCCCTATAACATATGTGTGAAATTATGTACAACCTAATATTTTTAACTGATTCTGCCATTGATCTGGTTTGAATCATAACAGATTGTGGCTTTATTCTAATGAGAGCAAGCCTCAGTGAACTTTGGGCTCATGAACTCATGACTGCCCTCCTCCAGTGTGGTTGTAAGGAGATCAGAAGCTTTCACTTCTATTTTTTATTAACCAGCTTGCTGTTTCATCCAAAGTTGACAAACTGTTAACTTAACAGTTAACTGTTAACTTAACTAAACTATGGTTTGTTTATGAAGCTGTCTGGTTTCAAAACACCATAGATAGGCTAAACCAGGGGTAGGCAGCCTAAGGCCTGTGGGCCGGATGCAGCCCAATAGCCTTCTCAATCCGGCCCACGGACGGTCCAGGAATCAGCGTGTTTTTACATGAGTAGAATGTGTGCTTTTATTTAAACTGCATCTCTGTTTTATTTCTGGGGCTGCCTGGTGTTTTTACATGAGTAGAATGTGTGCTTTTATTTAAGATGCATCTCTGGGTTGTTTGTGGGACATAGGAATTTGTTCCTTTCCCCCAAAAAAATATAGTCTGGCCCACCACATGGTCTGAGGGATGGTGGACCGGCTCACGGCTGAAAACGGTTGCTGAACCCTGGGCTAAACCATAGGTCAGCTTTCAGATGTAACACTAAACTGCAGTTAATCAAAACCAGAATCAAAACCTTCTGACCTCTTCCTTGAAGTCATGCCAGAGAAAGATTGTTGTGGTTCATTCCTGTCACAATAAACCATGGTTTACTGTCTGGAAGTAAGTAAGCAATCGTCTCAAATGGGCTTGGCAGACCAAGGTATCACCTTACAGTCTTTTTGGCTGCCACTGGCTTAGCTGCTCTGATATAACAGTGCACCTGGGCAGCTTTTGGGTTGGCTGCTGAGGGAATTTGGGAAAAGCTTAGAATTTTAATGCTATACTGATGAGCAACTTTTGATAGCTTAAACCACATAAATATTGCCTAGACGACATGGGTTTTCAAATGACACCTTTTGAATGAAAATAGTTTCAATGCTTTCATAATTTTCCAATACAAACAAAGAACAACTGGTGCTTATAAGATAATACTCAAAAAGCATCCATACAAATCAGCCTGATCTATGCTGGTAAGGTAAAGCATTTGCTTGTAAGGTCAATTTTCAAGTCTTGGGGAACTGTTAGATAGATTGGAAACGAAGTACAGAGCAAACAACTGGCATGATGAAACAGGATTGTTTCAAGAGGTATAGGTTGATTCAGGTTAAGTCTTATTAATTCACATAGGTGCACTGATTTGCATGGATTCCTTATTTAGATGCAATGAACAATATTTTAAACTTGAAATTATTTGTGTTCACAGCCTGAAAACCTCTCCAGATCTCCTAGCTCCTAACTGGCGATTCCCTCATTGCGAGAAGTGAGGTTACAGGGAAGCAGACAGAGGGCCTTCTCGGTAGTGGCGCCCGCCCTGTGGAACACCCTCCCATCAGATGTCAATAAGCAGCTATCCTATTTTTAAAAGACATATGAAGGCAGGCCTGTTTCGGGAAGTTTTTAATATTTAATGCTGTATTGTTTTTAACACTTAATTGGGAGCTGTCCAGAGTGGCTGCGGAAACTCAGCCAGACAGGGTATAAATAATTTTTTTTTATTATTATTATTATTACTACTACTACTACTACTACAACTCATATTCACATTCTTCCAGCCCATCAACTAAATTTTGTTCCTCAAAACCAGATATGATCCTATGATCCTTTGCTTAGCTTAACTGCCCAACTTCATAAGGCAACCAATGCTTCAGATATAGGCACTAGTTAAGAGAGATACAGCCACCAGAGAACATATAGACAGAGAAAACAGACCAGGTTCTGCAGTAGACTGGGGGCCAGAATGTCACCAACTACAAAGTCTAATCTGCAGCAGAGGTATGGCTATTCACTATGAATCAGTTACCCAGTAATGTTGTTAGCTGGTTTTCCTATAAAGGGCTCCTGGTGGAGTGTTTGGCTGTCAAATAAACAGACCAGTCAGCAGTCAGAAGCCAGATTTTGATTTTTCTTCTACTTTCCAAGGAGGTCCTAGCACATCCCAAAGATTTCAGCTCCTCTGCTTCTCAGATAGGGTGCCATAATTCCGTATTTAGCCATGAATACACAGTAAAACTATGGAAAAGAAATGTCTGTTAGAGCAATTGAGAACACTAATCCTGTGCAAGAGAACTCCTTAAATCAGGGTTGGGTAACTTGTAGCCCTCCAGATGTTGTGGGACTCCAATTCCCATTAGCCCCAGCCAGCATGGCCAATGTTAAGGGATGATGGGCACTGAATTTCAATATCTGGAGGGTAGCAAGTTCCCCACCCCTGCCTTAATGAAAACTTCGGCTGAATGGATGTTACCTACAAAAGTCCCCCCCCCCCCCCAGTCACTGTTCTAATCATCTACTAAAATGGAAGCAGAAGAGGAGAAATAATCATTGCTGTTCAGTACGCTTCCCAAAGACATCTCGTTGGCCACTGAGGAAAACAGGAGGCTGGGCTAGATTGGTTTTTGGTCTGATCTCTTATTATGGGCTCTTCCTGTGTTCTTACTCTTATGCAAGTTTGACTTACGGTTAAGATCCTGGTTATAATAACCTGGCGCCTAGTCTTCTACCCTAGATGAAGTCTTTCAGCATGTTTGATGTGAAACTAAGTCCAGGTTACAATCGGTGTTGACCCATCCAGTTACACCTACCTGCAAAGCTGGAGAGCTGGTCAGGCTAAGATGGTTTTCCTCTGGAGTGTAATCCTGGTGAGCTCGTCGGCCCATCTTTGCTACTACCTATGTGGAGGACAAAGAATGATTCAAAAGGGGAGCTTCAGTCACAACATGTGTGGTCAAGGAGGCAGATGTACAGCCAGGATGATCAAGCTAAGGCTAGCAGGTTACACAGCTAGTCTCTAGGGAAGTTCATATATGGCAGGCATAGGCAAACTCGGTCCTCCAGATGTTTTGGGACTACAATTCCCATCATTCCTGACCATGGTTCCTTTTAGCTAGGGATCAAGGGAGTTGTAGTCCCAAGACATCTGGAGGGCCGAGTTTGCCTATGCCTGATATATGGCGGCTCCTAAAAGAAAGCCAATAGGAGTGAAGGAGGTAGTTGTTGGATTCTAGCTCCCACCAACGGCCAGCGACTCTGGGGGTTGCAGCCCATCAACACCTGGAGAGCCACGGCAGATACCTTCCCCCCGCCCCCCGCTATAAAACAAGCAAGGGGCCGCCAGGAGGGCTATTGCCTCGGGCAACCAAAGCCCTCGGCCGGCGGTCCTCCCCTCCGGGAGATCGGGGGACAGGGCAAAAGGCAGCGCCGGGCGTTAGGACAGCGAGTAGGCCTCTCCGTCGCCATGGCAACTCGGGTCGCGCGCCCTCCCGCTCTACTACTTCTTACCCCCTTGCAGACTTCCTCGTCCAGCTCCAAGTCGTCGTCCATCTTTCAGACCGAGCCGCTCACTTCCGGGAGAAAGTCCCTCCCCCGCGCGTCCTTAGCAACCGCTGATTTCCCTTAAAGCGACCGCAGCCTTTTTTTTTTTGGTAGTCCGTCCACAGTTCCCGTGCTGTTCAACCTTCTAGGCTCCCCGGACGTTGTTGGACTACAACTCCCGTCATCCCTGGCCTTTGGCTAAACTGGCTAAAGATGGTGGGAGTTGTAGTCCAACAGCAGGCGGGGAGCGAGGGAGGGCCCTTTATCTCCCCGGCTCTCTCACCCGGCAGCAACTTTCCCCAGCCATCCCGAAACAACAAGCTAAGCGCCTCCGAGAGCCGCAATATTTTGCCCGCTTGTTAATGTCGGAAGCGCCCGGACGCCTGAAAGTCCCTGAGTGAAATGGATCGCTCTCCGTTTAACAATCCTCAAGAATGGTTCAGTGCTTTGCCCTGAGATCCACTGCGAATACAACGAAGACAGGGGAGCCTGTAAGCCAGTGCCGAGCGCCTCTCCCTAGAAACTGAGAAACTAGACACACACGTACACGTGTATTATGTATTCCGCCAACATGGTTATGGACACAAGAAAAAGGGGCGTTCGTGGTGGATGGACATTGCTTTACTTTGTTCTTAAAGGCTTCCGTAATGCTTGTCACATCATCCCTGTCAGGTGGGGCTAGGGCAGAAAGAAGACTGAATAATAACAAACCAGAACATTTGTGGTATAAAAAGTTACAGGATTTCAAAAGTCGTGCAATAGGCATCGGCTGGAAACGAAGCGCTGTGACCGACCACCCCCAAAAACCTCACAGAAGACAGACGCAAACTATCGAAAAAAGGATTGTGTATGACCACCCTGATAGCATCGTGAGCACCAGTCATCATGAATGTGCCATAAAAGGGACTTCTGGAGAGACCAGGCTTCCTGAGCACAAAGTATAGCTTTCAAGGGCTAGCCAGCACTTCTCATTGGAGACATTTCCAGCTGTTAGCTTGTTGCAACAGAAACAAACCAACAAACCAAGGGCCTTCTATCACATTGAAGCTGAACACATTCATCGGGTGCATCTGTTAAAGTGGGCTCTAGTCCATAAAAGTTGATGAAACATGTTAATAATTAAGGCACTACTAAGTTCTTCATGTTGCGAAATGAAGAATAAACAGAGTTATTACTTATGACCCCCTGACTGCTCCATCCCTTTTTATTTTATAAAATTTTAACCTACCTTTCTCACTCTGGAAATCTATGGGTACTCATATGCTAGCCATAAAGCAGTCACATGAATGTTCCATCACCACATAAACTGTTGCTAAAAGCACAGCAAATCGAGTAAAATTTTCCATTCACCTTATTGCTTGCTGGATAGTGATTTGGCCATGTTGTGGAGCGCTCTTATGGTCATTTCTGTTAGAATGGCAAATGAAACCCGCATTGGAGTCAGTGTGCACTGAAGGTCCCCATACGGGGAAATCATTTACTTTTTTATTTGCATTTATATTTGCATTTTTTTTCCTCCAAGGAGTTCAAGGTGGTGCACAAGCTGGTTTTCCCCCTCCTCATTTAATCTCCACAACCCTGTGAGCAGCACTGACTGGCTGAGCTTCATGGTTGAGTAAGTCTCCCAGGTCCTGATCTGACACTCTAACCACTACACCACACTGGCTGTCTCATGAGAAAAGAAGGACGAGATGCCATTTCTCAACTTTTATTTTTCAAGGGTTTATTGGGTGATTGGTGGTTCCTGTTTGTCAGCTTACTCTAGTTTTATATGATTTTAGACCGTTTTTAAAGATGTGGGGTTGTGTTTTTTGTTTTCTTTTAATCAATTTTTTTCCATTCTTTTGTTGTTCGTTTATGCTGCATTTTGTAAACCACTTTGAACATTATTTTACAGTAGCGTCATACAAATATTTTAAAACAAATGCATCTCACTTGTGCTTATTTCTTTCTAAAGAAATAATTTCTGGCATTTTTCCACCCTAAGAGTTCCTAAAACCGTACAACAGGTGTGCTATTTCTGTAGCAACTACAACGGTTTCTCATATGATGGAAAGGTCACATTAGGTAAGCTTTAACTTTCGAGATGCTGTTTAGCAGCTGGAAATAACTGGGAGGCGGACACCACGCCAAGTACCCAACCCACACTTTTTTCGGCTCAGGGACAAGCTTTCTTGGAAATCGCTCCTATATATAAACAAGGACGCCTGGAAGCTACTTCACCGGCGCAGCTTGTCCGCCAGAGGGCACCGTTCGCTTGCCTTCGTTACTCTTGACTCTCAACCTCCGGAGACGTTTGTAAAATAAATGAAGCGGGGCCCGCCTTGATCAGGTCTAATAAGTGCACAAGCCTCAGCCTTTTCCTTCAACTCACAATCTCCCCTTCGAAGGTGTACAATATTTTAAAAGGGAAAGCAGAACCGGGGGAATAAACTCGCCAGATTGCGTACATTCCAGTTTTGCGAGATCAAACCTTGATGTCTCTCCATCATGAAATTATTGTTTTATGGCATAGTCGTAATTACCATGTCTGTTCAGAAGTAAGCCCTACTGAACTCAACGGAGTTTACTCTCGGGTAAGACACTGGCAAGAAAAGTGATTGAAGGATGGATACCAAGATCCCCCCCCCCTTTTATTGTTGGCATTTGGTCATTCCCATGGAAGAATCCGGACTCGGACTACATACTTCGGCCACAACCCATCTATCCTACAACCATCCCATTAGTTTCCGTCAAGTTTCCTTGCGAGCAAGGCTGCGGTCCTCAGCAGCGCACCAAGAAATCAATTCCGTTTGAACCAGTGGGACTTCTTGCGCCACCACCCCCAATCCTGTAAAACTGCGCAGTGAAGGTCGGGGTGCAGCTGTGTTTCGGATCACCATTCACACATCCTTTAAACCTTATCTGCTGGTGTGGACGCTTCTCCCCCGCCCCCGAATGCGTGGGATGGAGGCTCCCATCGGGTGGTTGGTCTGGATCCAGGAATCCGCGCGCACGCGGTCAGAAGCGGAATTCTCTGGCCAACCTTTCATTCGGGGGTGGGTGGGGGGGAGTTGGCAGCATACAGGAGAAAACTTGTGATGCCCCCCCCCCACTTCCCCGGAACCGCGATGCGCGAGAAACAGGGCCTGGAGAGACAAGCACCCCCACCCTAAATCAGCGCAGGACGTGGGCGTCAATGTGCCTGTGTGCATGTATCCCACCCCCACCCCCCCGCGGGCCTTTCCACAGGACGCGCCTGTTTAACACATTAGAACTGTGCTGGACGCGCAGGCTGGGCTGGGAGAGCTCCCTCGCTCCCCCTTTGCCCGTCCCAGAGACGTCATGGGAGGGAGGTATAAAATTTCAGGCGAGAGGAGCAGAGAGAGGCAGTGTGTGTTGTGAGGGCGCGCAAAGGAAGAGGAGGAGGAGGCGGCGGCGGCGGGACAGGGGGCGCGAGAGTGAGAGAGAGAGACGCGAAGGGGGCTCGGCGCCGGGGAGCCCCGTCGAGCTCGAGGGGAGCCGTGGGGAGGAGGGGCGAGGCGGACTAAGGGGAAGGAGACGGCCGCCTGGCACCTGGGGACGGCGGAGAGAGACGCAGGCAGGCAGGCAGGCGGCCGGCAAGCAGCCCAGCCAGCGCCCGCGGGTCTCCCGTGACGGCGCTCGCTCGCTCGCTCTCTCCCTCCCTCGACGCCGCCAATGAAGCCGAGGCGCAGCTCGTGAAGCGCCTCCGCTTCGGCCCGCCTGCCGGGGGAATGGCGACCAAGCGGGAGGCATGAGCGGGGCGCGCCGGCCGCCGCAAGTGCGCTCCCAGGCCCGCCCGACACGTGCGCTCCCGGCTGCGCCTCCAGGGCTCCTGGCTCCGGAGCCGCGCAGCGCCGCGTAATTGTGAGCCCGGGGAGCAGCGGGGGCGCGCGGGCGCGGCGGTTGAAGCCCCCTCGACGGCCGCTGTGCGCCTTCGGACTCATGGAGAGGGACCCCGGCAGGGCGAGGCGCCGATCCGCTCCCTCCTCCTCCTCCTCCTCCTCCCGCTCCTGTTGCCTTAGTGCCGCCCGCGCTTCTTCCTAGAAGTCCCCCCTCGCTCCCGCGGCCGGGGAGTTCCTTCATGCACCTTCTCGCCGAGCGCCGCCAGCCTGCAGGATCCGCCTCGTCGGCGGCGCCCTTTTGCGCGCGCGCGCTCTCCGCCGAGGGGGCGTCCCGCCGCCGCCGCTGCTGCCGCTTCTTCCTCCTCCTCCTCTCCCCGCTCCCTGCCGTCACCGCGCCTGAAGATGCACTTGCACAGGGCTCTGCTGCTCCTCTCCCTGCTGAGCTTGGCCACCGTCAGCCTGTCGCTGTCCTCCTGCACGACGCTGGACCTGGAGCACATCAAGAAGAAGAGGGTGGAGGCCATCCGGGGCCAGATCCTGAGCAAGTTGCGCCTCACCAGCCCCCCGGAGACTGTGGGGCCGAGCCACGTGCCCTACCAGATCCTGGCTCTGTATAACAGCACCCGGGAGCTCCTGGAAGAGATGGAGGAGGAGAAGGAGGAGAGCTGCTCCCAGGACCACACCGAGTCTGAGTACTACGCCAAGGAGATCCACAAGTTTGACATGATCCAGGGCTTCCCGGAGCACAGTAAGTCCCGAATCCTGTCCCCGAAAGGGCTTTTGTTGGGGGGGGGGTGATGCCTAAGATTCGCAGCGGAAAATCAGATCCTCAGAGGCTGCCCAGGTAGCTTGGAAAAGATGCTTCTATGCAACTAAAAGCTCCATGGTGGGGAGAGGATTGGGAGAGCACATCTGACTTGGGTTACTCTTAAGTTCATTGTAGGGATGGAAAGTTGAGGCAGAGTGGTACAGTTACATGGATAAACTGGGATTTGAACCCAGGTTTGAAGACCCAAGGCTTGGTTCCCTGGATTATTCTGATTCTCATAAATGCCTGGGAATTCCAGGTTGCAGGGATGGAGAAAATTTCTCTGCCTGAGCTGCTGAAATCAGGAAGGCAGTGCCTTGGCAGCTGAAATGCCTTTTCTCTGGGATGCAGAATCCTGTCCAACCAAGTGGTTGGCAACAACTGCCCATTGCACCACTGACTGCAGTGCATGTGCTGTGAGTGTATGCCAAGGCAGATGTGCTGTTGCAAGTAGTATCCTTGCACACATATCGGCTATTCAGCTAATCTAGCATTAGATGCACTGTCCGTCTTTGCAAAGACTTGTGCGTGTTGCCAGTGTATGTTTTGGATGCACCCGTATATCCTAAGCAGCCATGAGTCAGGAAGGAATGTTTGTGTGTCCAGGTTGAAGTGGGGGGAAGCATTTGAGTGAGAGAATGAAATGCATCTGGCTGTGAATTTGTGGCAGATGTACGGAAGTGTGGGTCTGGCTGATTTACATGTAAGCTGTGCGCTCTCTGTACATTGACTTTTGTTCATATGTATCCATGATTTTTGCACCCGCAGTAAACACTTTTCAAAACTGGGCCTGGAATCTTGGCAAACGCTTTGAGTGCATAGGCAGGTTTTCCAATCATCTGGGGGCTGTGAGATCCTGGCAAAAGCCATGTTTCCTTTTGCTGCCATTAGGTGTCCTCGTGGGCTCTTGAATTACAGCAGAGCGGTTTGGGGGTGGGAAGAAGGATGTGGCCAAGTGCTGTTGAGGGAGGGGTGCCGAAGGCAGCAACCGGAGGAGGATGGCAGGAGTATCTTTCAGGATGTTGATCAATGTGAAGAGGTTGGAGGAGCTGTGGAAATGTGGCTCAGAGGCAGGCTCCGATGTTGTGCACACTTTGGGAGCAAGTCCCATTGAAGAAAGCGAGCCTTGCAACTGAGTAAATGCACCCCAGGAAGAGGCTGGCAGAAGGTTAACTTGCTTTGAAACCCTGAGCTATGGAAGGCAGGCACTTGCTGTGGAACTGCCCCCTCCCAGCAGGTGAAGAATCCTGAGCAGCGTTGGCACCAGGGCAAGCCAGAGCTGAGCCAGCTCTCAGTGTCTTGGAATAACATCAGCCCCAAATCCAGCCAACGAACAGGAAACCGAGCCAATGTCTAGAAAACTAAAGTAGGAGGGGTGGAGGGAAGTGGGAAAAGAGAGACTGAGAGGGAGAGCGGGGAGGGATGTACTTCAGGATTGGGAGAGAAAAGGCGTTATGAGGCTTGGAAGCCAAACGTATCCTTGAAGGGCTGAGCAGATACATTAAAATGTTCCATATGTGAGTAGCGGTCACCACAAATACTGGGCAAGAGTCCTTCCTTGTGGGGTACATGCACGCATACATGAACACTAGGCATAGTGAGGTAAGCCGAGTTGAGTGGATTTGGGTTATGTTTGGCATGTGGCGAAGTGGGGTGGGCATGATCAGGCATAGCCACAACTCTTCAACCCACACTTGGATTTGCAGCCGTAAGGGGAATGTAAGGGGAAATTGTTCAGCCACTGAAGCCCTTTGGCTCAGATCCACTCCGTCCACCGCCCCAACACACACCACTGTGGTCGCATGACCTGAGTAACGCAGGAGCTTTGCACAAAAACAAAACGGTGTGGATGTCTTTCCAGGCAGGAAACCATTTTTACAAAGTGGCTCCCCACACAGTTTGAGCAATCCCAGCTTTGCCAGCCAGCGCTATCCCCACCTCAGCAAAGAGGGTTTGTGTTAGCATGGTGGAAGTGGCCAAACCATGTGAGGAGCCACTTCCATGTGAACCTACACACTTTCCTTTTCAAGAGGGGAACCAAAGCCAGCATCCAACAAAATAGATGCAGGCTAGTGCATGGACTTTTGACTGCAGAAACTAAATTCCCCCACCTCTCCTCTCCCTGTGTTGAGGGCATGTGGTGGTGAAGAAGTAGGATCTTTTTTGGTTGGATGCTACCCCAAGTCTCCAAATGGAGTCTAAGAAGAACTGGGGGCAGCCCAGAGAGCAAGCCGAGGGGAAGCGTGGAGGATGAGGAAAAGGAGGTGGAAAAAGCTGGAGTAACCGGGCAGCCTCTTCCCGATGCAGAGGAGATGGTCGCTGAGCTACTAACAGGAAGGAAGCACAGCAGAGCAGCCAGATCCTCTTTATCAGTGGCAGGGAAAAGGAAGGTGCTGAGGAGGCACCACAAAGATGCAGATGCTAAGCAGATGTTGTGCATCTGTGTCTTCTCACACGGAGGGGTGGCGATGTGGAGCCCTAGAGGCTGAGCCTATGCAGATGTGGAGTCACATCAGGAGGTATCAGCTTTTCTTAGCGCTGCTGTTGCAATGCCAGCGCTGCGATGACAGCCAACCATCATCTGTGTTGTTATTCTTGCCCAGCTTCCCAGAACAGTGAGAAGTTCCAGAGGGGCAGCGCCTACCTAGATTTGGTTTCCTTTAGAAGGGTCGCTGGAGACTGGCTGGAGTTTTGTAATCTTCAACATTATTTTCAAATACACTGGTAGAGCAGGCAGTAGGTGGAAGCACACATCTTAAACACCCTGACAGTTGATCCAGCTGCTCCACATCAACTCTCCAGGGAAGAGCAGTCAGGACCCCAAAATGCTTTCAACATCTGACAAGAGGGTAAAACTCATCTCAGCACTCTCTGTTTCTCCTATGAAAGCAAACCAACCCTGCTGATTTAAAACCTGGTTCTGTTATTCTGTTTGTGTACAGAGCCAGATTACATGAGGTAGGGGAAACAGAAGACTTGAGGAAGATCCAGCCGTTGAAAGCAACCAAACTACAATGTCCTGAACAAAATGTTAGGAAGCGGTAACTTTCCCGCCAGCTGTGAAGGAGATTTCGGCAGGTCCTTCTCGCTCCATTAACCCACTTCCGTATTTAGCTCAGTGGGTCCTGCCTCTTCTTGGTGATGTAAATTCCAAGCCCAGAGCCAATTTGCACACTCCAGTTTCAGGATCAGTTCTGAAAACAATTTGGGAACATATAGCTGTTGTGAACGGGTCCAGGGAAATCCTTGCGCCCAAAACCGAATGGAAACTTTAGAGGTAACTGCTTGAAATGTGATCTAGTGCAGGGGCACATAGTGTCTCCTCTGTTCTATCTACCTGCATACTGGTAGGGAAGTCATTCAGGAATATACAGTAACGTATTCGCACATTACATTCCCACAAGTATTTGGGTATAACGACTGCAAAAAAACCAACATGTGAACCAGTCCTGTTGTTTCATGCTGGAATAAGGTATTAAGGTGCCAATGCAGCTAGATTCATTTGTGGAAGTGAGTGGTTCCTAATATTCATTTGACCAAAGCCCTGCATAAAAGTTACATGATTAATGTAATGATTTCTTTTTTTATGTCAGAATAACTCATCTAAATGGATGAGGGAAAGAGAGGTGTCAATAGCCATTAATAATGGATCTACATTTATGGTGAATGGGAGCCTATGACCCGGCAGATCCTGTTGGATTCCAGCTCCCATCACACCAAGCAGCATGGCCAGTAGTTGGGGGCAATGAGAGGATTGTAACCCATCAAGATCTGGATGTCCACTGGCTCCACACATCTGATGCAGAAGGACCATGCCATTGCCCCAAGATGCTCTTGATTAAAGTTAGACTCACCATAAATAGGAAGTTGGAACCCATAAATCACTACGAAGAAGCTGGGGAAATGGAGGCGAGGTTGTCAAGATCCTTTTGTAATAGATATGCCTCCCTCACTTGCTGCGAGAGGAAACATGGCAGCTGCTGGGCTTCTCCCTGCCGTACAGCTGTGCTGATGCTCATGTAGATTAAAGGCAGTGGAGAGTGCTACCTAGAGGAAAGGAGGAAGCAGATTACTCAAAGTGAGACATGGAAAGGTGGTTGGCCCAAGGTGAGCCTATTCAAAATGCTAGGGCAGTGTACTTGGGTGTAGAGAGAGAAAGCACAGGCAAGACAAAGGTGGAAGGGGTGGCGAGACTCAGAAGAAGCTGGTAGAGAGGTGCCGCCAGGTGGAACTGGGTTGCTCTGGCAGAATGGCTTTAGCCTACTGGGCAGGTATGTGCTCAGTCTGTAACTGTGTATCTCCACAATACAGTGATAACAGCTGAGCCACAGACTCCATGGGCAAAGGCGTCTCCTCTGTTGGTCCTTTGGGACCAAGTTGTCTTCATCCCAAGAGACGCCACTGAACTTAGATCACAGCGAGGAAGATGGGGATGAAATTTAGCAGGGATCTGCCTTGCAGAAATCTGTGGTGCTCCAGCCACTTGCCTGAGCAACGGATTTGGTCCCATGTCTTAAAAAAAGAGAAGTGGCTGATGTTCAACTTTCCCATGGCTCTGTCCCTCTGCCAGGTGGTGATTCAGAATGAATGTGGAGCCAAAGCCAATCTCCTCCCCGTCTTTCTCCCTCAGGAAGCGGGGAGAGCCTTATTCCATGGAGGGTTTCAGGACTGATACAGGCAAATCTGAGCTTACACACACAGGAAACTGTTCTGGCTCCAAACCATCCACCAGATACCTCGCAAGTATTTGTCCTGTTCCAGGACTTCGGTCCAGCAGGGGAAGTGAGATAGCAGGAGGAGGAGAGCTTAAGCTCTGATAGGAAAGCAGACCCGATATTTTAGGAGCAGCCTCACATCCTCCTTCCAGATGGTGATAAAAGAGGAAGTTCCCCACACATGCACACAAACACGCCCTGCCTCTCCAGCATTTCATCCCTGGGACAGTAGTGCATTGCAAAGAGAGAACGGGTGGCTGCGGTCCATGTTTAGCCCCTGCGTGGCAGGCTTCCCAAAGGGCCAGGCATGCTTGTCAAAAGCAGCTGAGAACACCACAGCTGTCTGCCTCTGGGGAAGCCGCCTCTGTATATGTGTGAACTAAGGACCCCGCCCAGCCTTCCCCTGGTCTATATTCCAGTCTGACTTTGGTGACCAGGGTGCAACTGGCCATCTTTTACTACAGGAACAGGCAACCTGCAGCCTTTAGCCTCTGCCCAAATTCATGTGGCTGTTTGCAAACAATCTAGCCATCCCCCAGAAGTTGGATGGGCAGGAATGAGAGAGGGAGGGGGAGAGAGGAGGGAAGGTGGGAGGGAGGGAAGGAGTTTCCCCACCCACTTTTGGCTCTGATCCTGCCCACAGCCTTGCCTCCCACCAGCATGTGGTCCTTGACAGATTACCCCCCCCCCCCAAAAAAACTCCAGGTTTTTCACTCCTGCTTTCCTATGCATGTAAACATCTATCCATTATAAGTTTTACAATTGTTGCTTGTCCCGAGCATTGGGAATGGAATGGGTTTAAAGAAACGAATGTGCAGTATAAAAGAGAAAGAGAAAACTAAAATGCAACCAGTGTTTTAGTAGTGACTGTTGTGTGCTTGGGACACAGGGCTTCTTTGTTCCTTGATGCCAAGAATTGTTAATCCACTTACAGGAACAGCAGCTCAGTAGAAGCCACAGCTACCTTCCTCACTACCTGTGACTTGGTGACTACATGGGACCATTTCACACTTGATGCCCTAAGCATGTTTGCTGTGGCTTTATTGGTTCTGCAACAGGGTTTGTGGCTGTAAGCATGTAAGAGTGTGAAAGAGTTGCATTTCCAAAGTAATGGCGATCCTGTGCCATATGTACAACTATATATATTCGCGCATACCTAGGGAATCCCCCAAGCCTGTAGAAACCACTGTCTTCTTATTGGGTGTCCCTGTTTCCTCTTCCAGTTTGGTAGTGAACTTGGGTGGTCAAGTGCCTATTGGAGACTGTGTTGGTGCATTCACCTCGCCTTTGTTACGTGTATCCAAGTGATTCTTCCATGAGACATTGAGATCATCCATACCCCTGAGCTACTGCAAAGGAACATAGCTATGGGCGAAATGATACGTTTTATTGAGCCATTGTAATTCAGTGCATTGTAATTCAGCAAAGTTCATGAAGTTAATATATGGTTTGTTGGTTTACAGGGGTCAGCAAACTTTTTCAGCAGGGGGCCAGTTCACTGTCCCTCAGACCTTGTGGGGGGCCGGACTATATTTTGAAAAAAAATGAAAAATGAACGAATTTCTATGCCCCAGAAATAACCCAGAGATGCATTTTAAATAAAAGCACACAATTTACTCATGTAAAAACACCAGGCAGGCCCCACAAATAACCCAGAGATGCATTTTAAATAAAAGGACACATTCTACTCATGTAAAAACATGCTGATTCCTAGACTGTCCGCGGGCCGGATTTAGAGGGCGATTGGGCCATTTCCGGCCCCCGGGCCTTAGTTTGCCAACCCATGGTTTATTCCTTGCAGCGGAGGCTGGTCCTTTAGAGTGAGCAGGGCACTGTGCCACCAAACGCAGCCTGCCCCCATTTGCCTACAGGAGGTGGCCCTGGCTGTCAGTTTCCTCCTGCTCAGTCTCCGTCTTGCCCAGGCAGAACCAGCAGGCAAGGGGGTGGTAATAAAATGAGAATGAGTTGGCTCTGCCTGTCATTGACTTCACCAGCAGTAGGTCCCCTCCCCTGGCATCAGCTAACACTGATTCCTTCAGGCCATCATGGCAAAATGACTGTCTACCATGACAATGCTGGAAGCAATGGGGATTTTTCTCCTATGCAAGTGTCTACAGTTTAGGGAGAAGAATCAAGGCGCAGCTAGACCCTGTCTCAGCTATTAATAACGCTGTCACCAAGTGCTGAATTTATGAGCCTGAGATCCTCTCATCTGTTGGATTGTGGACCATCCTGGCTAATAGGTTATTTCGGTTCCTTCTTTTTCTCTTAGATGAACTGACTTACTGCCCCAAAGGCGTAACTTCCAACCTGTTCCGTTTCAACGTGTCTTCGGCAGAGAAGAACAGCACCAACCTCTTCCGGGCTGAGTTTCGGGTCCTGCGAGTGCCAAACCTCAGTTCAAAACGCACAGAGCAGCGTATTGAACTCTTTCAGGTGAGCAAGGTTAATGCTGGGGCAGAGTGAAGTGCCTAGTTGCCGCCCCGTCTCCCCCCACAACATAAATGCTAACACTGCAATCCTCTGTTATTAAACACCATTTAATGTTATTTCTCTTAATGGTGTTACAATATTCTGCACCCAAAGAAGAAATGTGGGAGGGGAAGAAATGTGCAAAGCTGTAGCATTAGGGGAGCGTTTTGTAAATGATCTCTCCATCCTCCTCCCATTTTCCCATTTGTTTTCTACATCTGATTTAACTCCTGCATTTAAAGCAAACACTGCTGTACTTCAGGGAATAGCCTGGTGTATTTAAAGAAATAATAGAGCATTGGAACATTGTATATGTTCCAATGCTCCATTATTTCCTTACATACATTAGGACTCAGGGTTTCCCAAACTTGGGTCTCCGGCTGTTTTTGGACTACAGTTCCCATCATCCTGGAACGTAACCCTCGCATAAATGGGGAGTTGCCTGTACAATGTATAGTTGGCCCTTTAGTACCTTCTTTGCCAGCATTGCTTTCCCAGTATTTGTGGTGACATGCTGGAAGCAGAATCCTGTAAGCAGTGGCACAGGACCAGCTGGCCCATGTGCAAGGAGGCAGCACATGTGGAATTTTCCAGCAGTTTTCCATCCGATTAGCTGCCGCTTGCCTAGCTGTTGTGCAGCAGATCAGCCTTCAGTTTCTGACTGGCCTCCTTGTTGCATTTCATCACACCCGGTCAATCCTCGTGTGTTCTCCTGTATATTTTCACTTCTTCCTGTCTAAAGCATGTACAGAACTTGAAGGGATTCTCCTCTGCATTGAGCAGCAACTATTTTGATGCGTTCTTGGGCTTCAGCGCCATCGTACCCAGCAAATCGGTAACACACAGGAAGCGTGCAAATGTTTGTATGGAGAGGATTGTCCTAGTCCGTTCTAGTTTGGCAAGACACACTTGCTGCTGTTGCTGAACTGAGCAGGGGGTCTTGCGTGTCTCCTCCCCATGCAGATCCTGAAGCCTGATGAGCACATTGCAAAGCAGCGCTACCTCAGTGGCCGGAATGTGATGACGCGCGGCTCCCCTGAGTGGCTGTCCTTCGATGTCACGGACACAGTGCGAGAATGGCTTTTGCATAGAGGTGAGTGCAGCAGGAAGGAGGTTCAGGGATCCTCTTTGTCTGGATCAGGTGGTCACGCAGACATGTCCGTCAATAACTCGTCACCGAGAGTGAGCTACTTGCCATTCACAGCACAATGTTTAAACTGTTTCCACTGTCCATTTTTATTTTTGAGTTTCCTGACCCTCTGTCTGTCTCCCCCAACAAAATGAAGGCAAGATGTTATATTTTGCCCTGAGGGGGAGGCAAGCTGCAGAAGAAATAAGCTTTCAGACAAGATTTATTTCCCATTTTTGTTTTTGTTGTATAATTATTATTGTTAATTTAATAATAAAAAGGTAAAGGTAAAGGGACCCCTGATCATTAGGTCCAGTCGTGACCGACTCTGGGGTTGCGGCGCTCATCTCGCTTTATTGGCCGAGGGAGCCGGCGTTTGTCCGCAGACAGCTTCCGGGTCATGTGGCCAGCATAACTAAGCCGCTTCTGGCGAACCAGAGCAGCGCACGGAAATGCCGTTTACCTTCCCGCTGGAGCGGTCTCTATTTATCTACTTGCACTTTGATGTGCTTTCAAACTGCTAGGTTGGCAGGAGCAGGGACCGAGCAACAGGAGCTCACCCCGTCGCAGGGATTCGAACCGCCAACCTTCTGATCAGCAAGTCCTAGGCTCTGTGGTTTAACCTACAGCGCCACCCGTGTCCCAATTTAATAATAATTTGATGTAAATGGCTTTGTGAAGTTTAGCAGTATATAAATATCTCCAATAATAAGTAATGTAAATTATAACAAGTAATACAGTACATATTTGCAATTAATCAAGGAAAGGGAATACGAATCAAAATAGGGAGAGCTAAAAAGAGGATATTGACCTCAGAGAAAGTCATTGCGCTTGACATGATATCTGTGGCACCCAGTCATATTTATTTCAACCTCCCCACTCCTCTAAGGGGCTCTGGGTACCATAAACTTCCGTCTTTATCCTCACATCTTTCTTCTTTATCCCTGTGAGGTAAGTTAGATTGAGAGGGAATAGTCAGCTGAAGGTTACCTGTTGACTTGGTGGCTGAGTGGGCATTTGAACCCGAGTTTTTCCAGTTCTAGTCCAACAGCTCTACAAGCCATTCAGACATGCAAATCACCATTTTGATTCATTATGCTCACTCAGTGACTACAGCATCTGTAATCTAAACAAAAGAGTCTAAATTTAACCAGTAATAACTGTTATCGGTTCATTCTATTTTGTGAGGATGTAGGCATTCTGACAGATTTCCCAGCAGCTTCAGATATATGAGTAATTAACTTCTCTGGGGGAAGTATGCTTTTGAGCAAAGCACTTCACTGGATTTCCATCATCCTAAGTAATAGTGCTGTCCAGAGAGTTCACCGGTCGATAATTTTGTCCATTTCTCAAGTAGTTCATTAACCTGCTCCAATTCTTAGATAAACAGACTGAAAGGCCAAAATCAGAGGGAGAAATCCTGTCCATGCTACAGAAAATAAAGGCGACTAACTTGTAAGGGAGGCCCATACTTGTAAGTTGAGAGTGGTCCCCCGCTGCTTCTGTGGCTGTTCTCACCAAGCCACTGACAACTCTGTTGCTTGATACTGCTCCCCAGTGCCTCACTCAAATTGCACAGAGGGTAGACCAAACTAGCCCAAGGAAAGTTGGAAAGGTCAGATGGGTGGGGGAACCCAGCCCCAAAGGTCTCATGGGCAACTGGTATCCCGACTGCAGGTGCAGATGGCTGGGATGAGACTGCCAGTAAGTCAGTGGTACCACAAGTCCCTCAGAGCTGTGCCAGGGTTGTGAGGGGGTCTTGGCAAAATGCCATCGAATGGCCCCTCTGCATTTCCCATCTTAGTTTTCTCAAAATGCCGTGCCTTTGAAGTTCTGTCGTTCCAGGGCACTGTGGGTTAAAAAAAAATGCAAGCCCTCACTGGTAGCTGCCATGTTTTTGTGACATGATGGCTATTTTTGTTTTTTTGTTTTTAAATCAACAATGTTCTGGAAAGTTGGGGGACATACTATTTTAGAAAAAATAAGAGCCTGAAGCAGAGATCCTGTCAGATGTCACCATTGGCAGGCTTCACCATTGACGTACCACCACCGCTGTAACTCTTCCATTTTCAGATTTAGCATGTAGAGGCCATGCTCTAGTCTACATGCACACATGTGAGCACACATGTGTTGCACCGACACACCCTTACGAAGGTGGAACTCATGTAAGGGGGTGCACCAATGGTCAGCTAGGATATTGGGCTAAATCTGTCCAGTGGCGTAGTGTGGGTTGTCAGCACCCGGGGCAAGGCAAGTAATTTGCGCCCCCTAACCCGTGGATTTTAGCACTCGAGTCTCTTCCACTAGATTATCCCACTTCCTGATTGGCTAGGAGGAGGATCCGTGTGACAATAGCGAAATTTTTGCAAAATCTGTGACAGCGCTGAGAGAGAGTGAGTGAGCCAGGTAGGGGCAGAGAGCTGCGAGTGTGAGCGCGCCCCCTCCCAGATGTTGCGCCCGGTGCGGCCGGCCCCCCCTGCACCCCCCACGCTACGCCACTGAATCTGTCACCCCATAGTGAACCCAAATGCACATGCATCAAGTCGATGTCTACACTGTCTTAGAGGAATTGGCAAGAAATTTGCTTCTGTTCAGCACAAGAAGCTGCTGGGCATGAGGGCATCTTGAGGCAAGAATATTGATTCATAGTTGGCCTGTCCTTGCAGGTACAGTCGTATCTGGATGCCAGTCAAAGCTGGTATGCAGGCAATAAATTCTAGGAGGAGAAGTCGATTTTACGCTTCTTAGATTTTTCTTGGCCAGAGTCCAGGGACTGAACTATTGGTAGTGCAAAGCTGTTAATCTGACTAGTAGCATGCATGTCGCACAGCTTTTGATGTAGGTGACGCTTGGAGATACAAGCAGCAGGTACCTTACCCAGGGCTTTGCGGCTTGTGCAATATAACAGTTGGTGCAGGGCTCGGCATTCATCAGAGAATATCAGGAGAAATGCCAGCAGCTATAGAATTCAAGATGTGGGATTCAGCAGCTGCCACCAGCTGGGAAGATTAAACAGGTGCTGAGATCCAATGGCTGCTTCTAGCTTGATCCTCGAGAGCCTTAGACAATTCCTCTGACTGCAGCTAGCAATGTCCACTTGCACAGTATTTGTTGGTTACTGCTTCTTTCCCCCACCCCTTGCCAGAGTTTTTAAATGCCATGACAATGCAAGGCAAATTCAAGGTCGAAATTACATATGTAAAACGGATGTGTTACTGTTCCCAACAAAGATCCCAGTTGCAGCATTTAGGGTTTTGTGGTTGTTTTGTTTTTGTGGGATTTCTGACTTGCGGTACAGAATTCCAAAAAGAAGCTTTCTTGTTAGTCTCAACCATTTATATAAAGACAAGGACAGGAGAGTTGTGCAGCCTAATGCTGTTCATATTTACTTAGAAATAAGTTCTGTGGGATTTCTCCCACCAAATTATCATAGGTCTGGAGCCTTGAGTTTCAAGAGTCCTCTCTTTTGTGTGTTTTCTGATTGGGCTATAAATCTTATTATGAACATAATTCAGGAAAATCCTGCTTAAATGGATGGACTCATACAAATTCAAAAGGACGTGACCATCCAAAATCTCAGTGGAACTTGAAACAGCATCAAAGTGGAACTGCTAGGGATCGGTGGATCACTAAGTGTTGCTTTCTATCGGTTTCTCATTTTTCCAGTATTAATTTCAGTTCTCCACATCTCCATATACGTATTTTTTTAAATGAAAATCTCGTGAAAATCTATTACCATGTGAGTGGGCATTTCTCCTAATAGCCACACATTTGTATGCAGTTTTGCCTAATACACACTTTCCCCCAAAGCCATTATGTCTAATATAATGCTGTTTTGAACATTATGTTCACTAATTTATGTATTTTCAAGCATACTTTATCCTAGTACATGCACTTTTGCATATATTATTTGTTGGGAAAACTGCATTTGGAGAGGCATGCATTTTGAAGCTGTTTTGTACTGTTTCAGAAAGTGCAAATTTAGTAGGTTTGGCTTTAAATGCAAACCGAAGCTGCATTCACACAGTCATTTATTGCATTTACATGTTGCTTCCCTAGCTGTTAATTTCCACATTATATTTGAGCTTTCACATGATACAAAAACCACTTATGGAACTATAGTGAAACATGGCAAAACTATAATGGAATATAGTGCAAGTTTAGCACTCATTTCCATAAAATTTGCAGACTGATTTTTGTTTTCTGGAAGGAAATTATATAGATATGAGCACTAAACTTGCACTATATTCCACTATAGTTCTAGCAGTGGATTTTATGTGGTGTGGAAGCTCAGATATAATGCAGAACTTAGAAGTTAGGGGAAAGTTGCAAAAATGGAATAAACTGCCATGTGGATGCAGCTAGAATCAAATTTCTCCGCCATCCCTAGAAGGCTTTCGAGATTGCTGCCAAAGAGCAACCCGGGTCTGCTTACCTGCCCCCAGTCTCTCTCCATTGCATCTTCCCTGTCTTAATGTCATTACATTATGCATTTTCCTATTCCTGCCACTGGCAGCCAATGTTGGGGAGCAAAGGTGAGGAACCTGGATGATGTCAGGACATGAGGTGACTTCAACTGTTCAACATGGAGCAGGATAGGAAAATGCATCATGAGCCGCCACTTTGGGTAGAAAGTCTATATTCACTGCATGTAAAACTCCACCCCCATTTGCAGCAACACAGGAGAATGTCAGTGCTGTTGTCCCCAAAGAAATTAAACATTGGTGGGACAAAGGAAATGGAATTGCCAAAGAACTGTTTGGATTGCAGGGACATTAAGTTGCTAGTTCTCATGAATTCTTTCTCTCCAAACAGAATCTAACCTGGGACTAGAGATCAGCATCCACTGCCCATGTAACACCTTCCAGTCCAATGGCGACATCCTGGAGAACTTGCATGAGGTGCTGGAGATCAAGTTCAAAGGTGACAGGGGAGAGACTGGAGGGGGAAGCAGCGAAATGGGCCACCAGGAGAAATGAATCATTATCCCATCTGCATCGGAGTGTTTTTAAAACATTGTTTCTCTGTGGGTTTTGCTGTGTTTCTTCATGATAAACCTGTGTAGGGGTTGTCATAGGGGGGCAGGGAGTACCTCAGAAGTGTGGAGGCACACGTACCTCACAAATGCATGGGTTTGATAGTAATCTCCTTTCTGTGGGGAATCTTGGGAACTGTAGTTTTGTGAGGGATGCTAGGCATTTGTAACAGAATTCTAAGCACCTCCCCCAAACAACAGTTCCCAGGACTCTTTGGGGAAAGGCCATGACAGAGAAACTGGCACAGAATGCTAAAGTGAAGGGATATATTCAAGGGTGGATCTACTATGAAACTACTGAAGCCTAAGCTTTAGGGCCCCTCATTTTGGAGGGGCTCCAAAAGCAAATGTAGTCTACATTCCTTAAAAAATTTAGGTCTAGTAAGACCCAATTTGAGTCGCATGACTTAAATGGATTAGGTTGTTTGTTTTTTGTATATATTTCAACAGTCCCAATGTTTTAAGAGTCAGCCACACAGACGTTGTCAAGGCGTGGTAATCTGTCGTGGTACAACCCCAGTGAAGAAGATAACAGTGGTTACCCCCACCTCTTGGTTGCTGGTTGTGAAGGGGCCCCCATGACAATTCAGGTTTCAGGGCCCCCAAAATGTAGGTCCACCACTGCATATATATCTTGGTGCATAAAGGTGTGCGAAGCAGATGCATTGCTGAAGTTAAAGTCTCTCTGGAAAACTCGGTTCTGCTGCGTTCTTGGTTTGACTCTAGTTTCCAGCTGTCATGATGTGGGCATGAAGAATTTGGGCATCCTGCCTGAGGTGGCACAGGCAGCCAGCGGCTGAGTTAGGTTCAACATTAGCAGCTGCCTGGCATTGGGCCCTGGGCTGTGGCCACGATACCCACAGGCTCCACATCCTGGATATTCCTTTTGCTGCACAGTTCCAGTCATCTGACATCTTCCTTACGCCATTAATCTTCCTCGGCCTTTCTTGAGACTGAAACCAGTAACAAGAGGAGCATATTAATGGCCCCACCACCAGTTTACAAATTATAAAGCAAATGACCCACAACACTTGGTTTCAGGCTAAGAGGAAACCTCGTTTCTCCTGGCAAGGCTGGCTGCAGTCCTTACAGAGGAACCTCACAGGGGCCAGGCTGCTGGAGAGTTTCCCAAGCTGCCCTCCTGTTAAACATCCTCCATGGATTCCAACATTTTCCGCTGCAGCGCTAGAGTGGCCGTGCAGTTTTGCTAATGCCCTTCCCCTTCCAGGCATTGAGAGTGAGGACAGCCACGTGGGGCGTGGGGACTTGGGGAGCTTGAAGAAGCAGAAGGACCTGCACAACCCCCACTTGATCCTGATGATGCTGCCCCCCCACCGACTTGGGAGCCCCGCCCTGAGAAGCCAGAGGAAGAAAAGGGCGCTCGACACCAATTACTGCTTTAGGTAAGCGATGGATCCCTCTCCTTCCCTTCCACCTCACCCCTGGGGTTAACTGTGGCTCCACCTGATTGCTCTGCAGCTGCAAGGCTGGCAATTGGCTAGTTTTTATTTTGATTCCATGCTTGCAGTGTGATGGGGAAACGTTCTGGAAGCCCGATGCAAAGCAGGGATGGCTGGTTCAGTCAAATATTGTGCCTGACAATGAGGGATGCCTTTGAGTTTCGCATTTCCTGCTTTGCACATGCGGAGCTCAGTGGCTTGCAATGTTTCCCTCAGTTTTGGTGAAATAGGAATTCAGGGTCACACGCTTCTGATCCTCCTCTCGGCATTTCAGCCTGCCTGATCAAAGGACCCACACTCCTCCCCCATGTGCTGTTTTGGTGGTTCCCCTGACCCTCCCCCCAGAGCCATTTGTTTTTTTGGGGGGTGCTCCATTGTGCAATAGGAAGTCCTTGCCCAGAGCTTTCACTGATGGACTTGTTAGGCGAGTAGTTACAAATTTAACCAATTCCAGTCAGGCAGCAAAACTTAATTTGTGCTGCCATATTCAGCTGGTAGACTTCAAATCCAGCTTGCTAGGTCACTAGTCTGGCCTACTGCTTGTTTGGGCTTCCAGCACCAAGTGAAAACTATGGTGCAGAGGAGAAGTCCCTGTTTCTCCAAAGCCCTTGATTCCATTTCAAACCCTTTTGTTCCAGGAACATGGAGGAAAACTGCTGTGTGCGTCGCCTCTACATTGACTTTCGGCAAGACCTGGGCTGGAAATGGGTCCACGAACCCAAGGGATACTTCGCCAACTTCTGCTCTGGACCTTGCCCATACCTCCGCAGTGCAGACACAACTCACAGCACGGTACATCAGTTCCTTAATATTAGCAGGGAACCTAGAATTTGGGAGATCTGTCTCCCCCAACTTAAAAATAAATAAATCATAGTTATTAAAGTTTCTAGAGGCTCACGGAACTGGTGGCATCTGCCTGTCTCAAGAGACAATAGAGTGTGCCTCCATGGGTGAAGTCAAACTGCTGTGTTAGTTCACTGGGTCACAAGCCTGGGCTGAGTGTAGGGAGGTCCAGTGCTGCCCAGATAACAAGACCGCCACCCCCGGCTTCGCTGATGTGTTTCAAAGGAAAGCACAGCAATACATTTAGCTGCAGAAGTCGCCAGTAGAAGAACTTAGGGGTGTGAGTGTGAAGGAAATCTGTATAGAGAAATGACATTTTCTAATTCTTAGAGCTATTTTTTATTTTCTTGTTTTATAACGCTCAAGACTTTGATCTGCCTCATGTTGGTGTGGCATGACTGATGGAAAGGTACTCTGTGGACACTCAGAATCAGTACCTATTTAGGCTTCTCATAACGTAATTCAAAGTTTAGAGTGGAGTAGTTTGCTAGCCATTGGTATTCTAACCAGGGATTCTGTTTCACATGGAGTGAGAATTAGATTTAGTCCTGGGTTCAGCTACCATCTCAGCTCTGTACTCACTTTCAGGCCTTTGGCAAATGGCAGCCTCAGTAGTTGCCTTTCTGTAGGATGGATGCGCCTTTGAAGCGAACTTGGGAATAATCGTTGATGTGTCTTGGCTGAGGCTGCTCTTCTCACATGCATTGAATTTCACTGGTCAAATTCTAGTACTTGTGCTGCTCAATACACCTGGCTGCCTCTGGCATGTTTCTTCATGTCCTCTTCATACAGTGGTACCTCGGGTTACAGACGCTTCAGGTTACAGACTCCACTAACCCAGAAATAGTACCTCGGGTTAAGAACTTTGCTTCAGGATGAGAACAGAAAGCGTGCTCCGGCAGCGCAGCAGCAGTGGGAGGCCCCATTAGCTAAAGTGGTACCTCAGGTTAAGAACAGTTTCAAGTTAAGAACGGACCTCCAGAACGAATTAAGTACGTAACCAGAGGTACCACTGTATTGGAAATGGGATGAATTATGCAAGTTACCATAAACGTACTTCTGTACCAGCTGGAATATTTTGGGTGGGGAACGGAATAGAGGAGAGGAAGGAGCCCTATGCATAACAAATGTACAGGATGTGTAGGAACTACAGAGTAGGAAACGAAGGGCAAGACGTACAATAGTCAGTGGGATCCTTCCATCCAAACCCATCCTGATTTCTGAGATAGGTCAGATGTTGTATATTTTAAGCTTTGCTCTCACCTGTGCAGGCCACAAACTCCCCGCCCCCAGTGATTCTGGTACAAGTCCCTGAACTTGTGCGGCATAGTAGAGTCTACAAGCCATAGAGCAGTTGCAGGGATACTTATTTCTAAGCACTGCAAGCATTTCCTGATTATGGCTTTTTGCAGAGGAGATCTATGTTATCCCTTGTGGCTGGTTTCAGCTGCTCAGCCAAGCAGCGTTGGCATCTGTACAGCATAGGCAGCTTCCTGCATTCCTCGATGACCCAAAAAGAAGAGAACCCTATGGAAGAAGTGGTAGTGTTTTTCTGGCAATATACGTGGCATCAAGATTTTAAAGGAAGTTGATGTTATGTCATAACCTCAGACTAAAATGACAGAAAACCAGTGCCTGACAGATGGTGCAATGGTCTCAAGGGAGACATTTCCTAGAGCATGTGGAAAGGGCAAGACTTTATAATGGAGAGAGGGCATCGTGAGAGTTTCCCCAATGCAGCTCAATAAAACGCTATTACTTAGGTTGTGAGCCCTATGGGGATAGACATGACCTAGATGAAGCTGCCATAAGCTGATCTGAGCCCACAGGGCAGGGCAAGGTTTAAATATAATTAAGGAAAGACACACACAGTGCGAGAGGATCTGTTTATTAGGAGTGAAGGCAGGTTTTGGCTCCTGTTTCCGAAGGAAGAGAACCCTTCACTAGTCAAATTCTAGTTATATGCAGGTGTGCCAGCGGCACGATGAAGCTGTGAAAAAATGGTCAAAAGTGTCCATTATGGAGAAGCCAGTAGAGGGGATTCCGCAACCCTTGTCATTTCAAACCTTAAAGGAATGATTTATGAGGGTTTAGGGAGAAGCTGAGGACTAGAACGTGTGCCATCATTGTTAGCATTAGGCAGACTTCTGTAGCCTGAGGAAAATTGTTCTTCTTTTACAGTAAGGCAGACTCCTCAGTATTTAGAGAGGCATTTTTAGTAGGGATAAAAGCAGATTGTGACTCTTTCCCCCATAAATCACCAACACCCCTCTTGCATGAAAAGCAGCAGCCTTTGGGGAGAAGCACTGCTCTAAGGTTAGATGTTTAAAAGAGTGGTTCAGATCCAAGACTAAGGAGGAGGCGGAAGAATCTGTCAGAGTCTCCCAGGGCTCTCATCTGGCACTCCCTCTTTCTCTCTCTGGCAATATATGAGATGGAGCAGAGAGAGACTTCATTGGATTGGTAGAGGATTCAAAAAGCTGGGAGAGAATGTAGATATCCGAGAGGGACTGGATTAAATCCAGCATGATCTGGAGATGCTGGCCAAAGCAAGTTGATTTTTTTCAGCTGTTTTTCTTGAAATTCAAACAGGGCCATAGGATGGTTACACCCAGGGATTTTTGTTTTTAAAAGAGCAGGCTTTGCTTATTTGAATGCAGAGTCGAGGTCTGAGGGCTACAGGGCTGCACTTGTGTTTCTTACTTCAGGCAGGGCTTTACTCAGCTGCTGCAAATTAATAACCATATTGCCTAACAAGCTGTTAAATATGTTAGCGGTGGAGCTGGGTGTGGTAAGCTACACAGTTTAAGATCACTGAAGAGAAGCATGTTTTCTGCCTGATGGCGATTTGTGTTTTGGCCTAAACAGATTCGTGTGTTTTTTCTGGTTGCTTTTCCAGGTACTTGGCCTATACAATACACTGAATCCTGAAGCATCCGCCTCCCCTTGCTGCGTGCCTCAGGATCTGGAGCCGCTCACCATCCTGTACTATGTTGGAAGGACCCCCAAAGTTGAGCAGCTCTCCAATATGGTGGTGAAATCCTGCAAATGCAGTTGAAAGGGACCCAGTGCCAACCACAGCCGAGAAATTGCAGCGATCCGTTCTCTGCTCCCAGGTCAAAAAGAAAGAAGTACTTGAAGGAAGGTACTGTAATCTGGCTTTTCTTACACTGCAGTCAAGGACAATCTACCCACTTCGAAGACCTTTAATTAAAAAAACAACAACACCCACCTCTCTGCCTTCATGCCTCTCTTTTTCTTTGGGAGTTACTTTTGCAATACGGAGGCTGGGGAAGAAGACACACGTACCGGCTAAACATTTAGTGGACAGACAGAAAGAAGCAAATGAGGAAGAATTCATGGAAGGAGGAGACGATTAGCAGAGCTGTGGACATTTGGCAGGAACAATGGGACTTCTTATCCCACCGTTGACTTCTCTGCGAGCCCAGCCTTTCCTACAGAATAATGAAGATTTCCTTATGAAGGAACATAATATTTTCTTAGAACCAGAACATAATGGACATAATTATTCTGCCTACAAATGGGTGCAGGAGTCAGTGGTCCCAACTTCTCAGAACGACCACTTTAGAGAGGACCTCTTGACTATGGTGAATTCTCACACAGTTTCTCTCCTCCTGGAGTCCCTGCTCGATTACCTCTGGGTAAGAGTGGGCAGCAAATGCAGGATTCTTCAAAGTAATCTCCAATGGATCCTGCACTTGCTGTGGTGGCTAAGGTATTGTAAGGAAATCTGCGCATCTCTTGCACAAGGACCTGGCCCAGGCCACACCTGCCAAGGTTTTATTAAGAAGTATTAACCTCAACTATTGTAAAGAAAATAAATAAATATTTTTTGGAATTGGGAATTTTCTGTTCAAACAAGTTGCTTGGTCAGAGGAGGGGAGTGGGTAGATGCACCAGAACTGCCAAAATTGGCTTTCTGAAAGCCTGCTGTTCTTGATAGATCTGTGGTCTGAGGGATTGGATAGCAGATAGAACTTGAGCTTGTTTTCTGCTGAGAATGAAGTCGCTTAGCTTACCATGAACATTTGGTTGATTTTGGTTCTTAGTGAACTAGTCAGATCACTTTACCATGAACATGATAATGACGCTGTTTACTTCAACCGCATTTTGTTCTCCTGTGAAGCTGCTTTATACCAAAGCTATTCTTCATTGTCCTATTATGTTTGGGACTGCCGACTCTGGCTGGTAGCAGCTCTCCAAGGTCTCTGGCAGGGGTCTCTTGCAGCTGTGCTATCCCACATCGTTTTAAGTGGAGAGATCAGGAATTCAACCTGGGACTGGTTCCATGTGCTCTACCATTGACCTCTTTCAGGAATGAGGCCAATAAAAAGGGGGCCAACTCTGCTCTTGTTGCAGTGCCTATTGGTCCTTTGCCCTTCTACTTATGTTTCATTTTCACATACTTAAGTGAGGGGCTGTGACTGATCTACAGTAATCCAGTTCTCCTTGCTTGCATTTCCTCCTTTTCCACCATAAGCCCCACTCCATCGCTGTGACTCTGCTGTTTATGCTCACTCCTCTGCTTTTTTCGTGTGTGGTCTCCCATCTACATCAGCTTAGTACCAAGCTCGCCTGCCAATGAGATTAACCTTCTGCCCTTCACTGTGGTCCTGTGCCAGACTAGGGTTCCCACACCTGTAACCTGGACTGGAAAAAGCTTTCCCCAATATTAATAGCTGGTGCAGACAGGCAAGAGTTGGGAGCATGGAGGTGAGCAAAAGTGTCAAGGCCCTGATAAGGATTGGGGTGGGTGGGTGTGCCTCCAAGTTGCTTGTTGTTTTTTAAGCCAGTCATGCAATTGCTGCTAGTCGGTTTCATTTGGCCCTTAGCCAGATAAATACTGGCGATAAAAATCCATGTGGACTCCCTCCCCCATGTTTTTTCATAGGTAGTCTTCAAGGGCAGGGGGAGCACATTTGGCCCTTACTCTGGCAGCAGTTTGAGCTCACCCAGGTTGAGATGCACTTTTTCTAAAACTTGGACAGTGATCTGTGCCATCGCTTCTGCGGCCCTTTCAATTAAACCCCAACCAAGCTCCTGTAGCCCAAGCCTATAGCTGTTGGTTCTCTACCATACTTGCTTTAATTCATAATTTCAAGCATTTTTATTTTTTTTAAAGGGATGTGAAAAACTCTAGTTAGAGCAGCTGGGCTGCTGTCAATCCATCATACAGGCTTTCTTTGGCTGAGTGCCTGTGACAGGGAAATTCATGCTTGGATAAGAGGATACTTACCCACTCATTGCCTAACTTTTGGCATTTTGATTTCTCTTTAGGTCTCGTTGACCTGTTATCAGGCTCAGATGAAACAAGCAGCTCTTGTTTTGTTCTAACTGTGTTGCACGTTTTAATTCTAAAGGACAAGCAAGATTTATTCATCCCTCTAATAATGGGATACCCTTTTGGAATGGGAGAACTAATGGTGTACCTATGAGGACACACCACTGACTTGTGTGCCAGCATTTTAATCGTATTATTTTTCCAGTCCTCCCCCCCCCCTTTTTATTCTGATCCCGCTTTGAAAAACAAATGCTGTTGAATAGCAAGATGTTATCCTTCTGGGTAGAAACTAATTGAAAACACATTAGCAGCCCAGCACAATTTCCCCCACCAGCATAGATTAGTCGATACACATTTTAGGTTTCACATGCTGATGTTGCATTTTTATTGCATGGTTCGTGGCTAGAGACTTGCCTATTCCCATTATCCTCAGTCCCCTTTCTCTATTAGCAAATTGTGGAGTCACCCAGCCTTTTCCCAGGACCATCAACCCTTTCCAGAGCCTTGGGCCTAGTCTGGAACCTCCTAGCATAATGAAGAACTAAACCTTTCCCTGCCCCATTCAGTATCATAAGAAATGAGTTGTATCATCAAGGGGTAAACAATTTGGGATGTGATCTATTGATTCCAGAAGTCTTGTTTTTCCAGTGCTGGTGCATTGTAGTTTTCTGGAGGTTGGTGACACCAGAAAATTGTCCCTCTGCTTCTGGCCAAACTCAAAGCACAGTCAAAGGACACAATCTCAGCCATGTCTCCATGACTGTTTGAACCTGTCACTACATGAACTTGAAGAAGGCAACTGCTTTTTGCCCATGATGGACAGCTCAGCTCAATTGGTAAAGCATGAGACTCTTAATCTCAGGATAATACCTTTGAGCCCCACGTTGGGCAAAAGATTCCTGCATTGCAGGGGTTTGGACTAGACAACCCTTGTAGTCCCTTCCAACTATACAATTCTATGATTCTAATGTTTTCATGGCTGCCTGACATCAACTGGAGACATTTTATTTTCTTTTAGGCAAGGGTAAGTTCAGACAATGACTAGGATGAGCCTTTTTCTGCATGTTAGGTGTTTGACCCTTGCACTTAAATCTATTGGTTTTTCAGACCTTGTAGGGTTGCTTGGTCATTCAAAAGGAATGTCAAGTCTTGGTGTGTGTTTTTCAACATTTTTCTTTGCTGAACCTGCGTTTTGTCCTTGGGTCTCTACCAGGACAAATTCCCATGGATCTGCAAAGAGGATTGAGCTGGAGATTGGGGTGCTTACTAACCTGATCTGCAAATCTGTATCCATGCCTCAGCTTTGTAGCCAGTTCCTATGTCTGGCCATAATACATTGATCACCATTGCCTGAGATGTCAGCTAGGCTGTGACCAGGGAGAAATCGGTTCATAAGAAAATGGTTTAAAGGCCATCTTCTACATCCTTGAGAATGTTTGGCTCTGCTGTGGTGATCTTGTCTGCCCAAAAGTAAGTAGCTCAGAAGACACGAGCTGATGACTAATGTTCACAGTGCAGAAGGTGTCTGCTATGGTCACATGCATCATGGCTGCTGCTTAAGGATAGTACTGTAAGCAGCATGTCTTCCAAGGGGATCTTCACCATGACCAGTTTTAGCACTTAAAACAGCTTGCTTACCATGTGACAAACCACTTAGGAAACATCTGCAATTTAGTCCACAACTTCAGCTAACTCTCCAACTTTATGTGGGGTGGAGACAATAATTTATGAATGTCATAAGGAGAAAACTTTAGTGATGCTGCCCTTTTCTCCCCGGACATTCATGACAGTACTAAAATATTCACTGAGTCAGCCCAAGTACGTGTTTCCCTACTATCTGTCCAGGTACAATGTAGCTCTAGCATGTAGGAAGCAGTTCCCTGGGATGGCAAGATTCCTACACAGTGTGGACTGTTTTGCTAGGTGGGGACAGCAAACTGTGATTTTCTCAAGTCAATATCAGGAGAGAAAAAAAGACAATATCACAATTAGAAAGAAACCTCAATACTGAACAGTCTGTGAGCCTATGTAAACTCCCCTGAGAGCAAGCCCCGCTGAACACAGTGACCCTGAGAAGACAGGCATGGGATTTTGCTGTTAAGCTTGCAAGTAGTAAGGGCAGTGTAATGAACAGAGTGGCCAGTTTGGGCAGAAATGAACAGGGACAAACTCCTGTTCTGTGACTGAGTAAGATGTTTGTTTGGTTTGCAAGACTCTCTCCAAGTCCAGCTTACCTCACAGGACAAATGTAAAACACTTAGAATGGTGAATGGTGTGGAAATGATAAATAATGTACTGTTTCCATGCTCACGCAGCTGATCTGAAGTGACAGAACCCTATTAGTGGGATCAGTCTGGGCTCTGGAAACACAACTTCAGCACGGAAACATAAGAAACGTAAAGAAATGCAAGGGAAAATCAACGTAATGCATGAATAATAATAAAGCCTCCCACTGGAGTAAAATTAAATGTCAACTAATTGGAAGGACTTTTACCCAGCATAATAAATGTAAATTTTAAGCTAAACAAACAAAATGAATGACTTTATTCAGACTGAGCATTTCTATGGCTTTCTGTCAAAATTCAAGATAGCAGCCAGCAGAAGTGTCTATAGTCAAGTCAGCATTTCAGCTTCTTGTGCCACTGGTGGTGAAAGCTGCCCAGTACCTGATAGAGAACCTTGATTGTTCTCAAAGTGAGTCAAAATGACTGAGTGGATGGAGAAACCTGGGCCTCAGGATACATAATACAGACACCATTAAGAGCTCCTGTCTTATGTGAGTCATAAGCTTGACTAGTTGATGGAAGATGTGATATAGAATGCAAAGGAAGGCCTGAGGCTTAAGCAGCAAAAGCTCAGCGGAACTAGAAAGCCTCAAGTCAGGGCTCCAACAGCTCTTTCAGAAACACTCTGCTGCTCTGCTCTCCTTTCAGTGGGGAAAATTCTGGAGTGTGCGACCAGGTCTTGCTGTCAATCTGGGTGTTGCCAGGAGTGTGGAATGATGAGCACTCATCCCTGCTTCATCTCTTCCTTGCATGCTGACGCACTGGATTGTTTGTCCACCCGTTATTGAGGATTAATCCTTCACTTCAGAAAGTAAGTGCAACCGGGAGCTGAAAGGGAGACAAAGGAAAGCTGGTTAATGGTTCCAGAGATATGTGCATGAGCCACAGGATACAGGAGTCTTCCTTGACACAAGTTACAAAACCAGACAGGATAATTCCAGATAGTGTTAGCTGCAGGCAGAGGAAATGCTGCTGTGGTGGTTCTGATCCCTGCTGTGCAGACGGAAGAAGAGACTCCACTATTCTAGAATAGTCTATCTGATTGGCAGGGATCAGCAATCACATGACTGCTTTCTCACAGTAAGTGCAAGCTTGCTCTAGGGAAACAGGTACCTGCTATTTCCTGGGAGACTGAAGCTGCCACCTTCCGCATGCAAAGGAGATGCTCTATGCCACTGAGCTATGGCCTCTCATAACTTGCGCTACACATGTAGCAAGTATTACTAAAATC